CGAATTCTGTTCAACAATAGTAACACTGAAATTATATTGTATTTGACTCTAAACTGAAATTCTACTACATACATGTATATATATATATATATATATCTTCAGAACATGTTTTTTGATTAAAGTTCTTTGCTAACCAGAATGTAGAATCTTCTTCTAACATTGTCTCGAAGTAGATTTCGAGGTTCGTTCTTTCAGAAGTGATTTAGGATCATATATTTCTCCAGGAATACTTCTTTATTGGTGATGATTTCAATTATCAAGAAAAGTCATCATTATTCAAGCACGGATCTTCGATGCACGGCGATCAGCATTCAATGCTCTTCTCGTTCTCCGCCCTGCGATGTAGCGCATAATGCTAATGCTTCACGAATGTTCGGCGTGACGCTGTCAGAAGCCAGTCTGATCACCGACATGAGTGGCAAGTCACGGCTTTGATGCATCGTGATTCCATTGGCGTTCCAAGCGTGATGTTCGTCTGCTTCATTGCAGTTCCGGCGACAAGTAGCCCATAGCCTTGGACAAGATCCAGCCACGCTCCACTCCAACCAGAGTATCACCTTGAGCCACTGCATTGTTGATAGGAGCCTGGTTTGCAGTTGCATCCGGCGTGGTTGTTGCAGCTGGCACTGAATCCAAGACCTTTGCATGTTCTGTCAGTCTGACACAAGTCCCGCAGGCTATTTGCACGGCTGCTTGCTCCGAATCAAGCATGACCTGCTCTGTGAACAATGCCGATAGGGCATCCCCGTGCGAGAGATGTGCTTCCCTCGCATCCTTATGAAAGGATTCATTCAGGGGCATGTTTCCAAGCCACTTGTCTGGAAAAGCGCCGAGCGTTTTGTATTTTGCATATAGCCAGTTGACACCACAGACCGGAAAGTGAAGGATACAGGGATCTTTGCACTCCCGAAATCCCTCGACGTCCATACGTCTGGGATCTGCAAGGGCAGTGCAGGACTTGTGGCCGCCTGGCAGTTGCCACAGATGCTGACTACTGAGTGTTGCACCTAAGCCTGTTCTGCAGGCGCTCTTGCCATTGTCGTAAAATAAGAAGTACTGGCCGTGCTTTGATCGATCCATCCAAAAGCGCAGGCCACTTCGAGCTTTGGCCGTGAGTGGCACTGCGAACTGGTGCTGCTTGAACAACGAAACCGTCGCGAAATAATCTTGAGTCTCGGGCTGCTCAGGCACACCTTCCTCAGTCTGCCAACTTGATGCAAAGCTGCAAGATGCAAAACAAGATTGTGTGGCCAAGAGGCGTGGTTGAGATAAGACATCTGGTGAATGTCCTGCGACTCTAGCATCTGGAAGTGAGGAACTATAGAATCCTCGCAAGTGTAGAACAACTCGTCAGAGTCCAAGCACAAAATCCAACGGCAAGCCAGGGAAGGAGCCAGCGTTGAGGCAAATTCGAAATCAAGAAGCTGGCGTGCAGATACTTCGTTGTCGAAGCCCTCCAGCTTCGTGAAGGATGCACAGTGCTGGCGCTGTGCTCGCAGCAAATCGTCTCCGCGCACATGGTACAACACACGAGATGCGGGGAAGCGTCGGACTACATCAAGAGTCGCGGTGTCGGACGGATCGTCCACAAATATCATCACCCTAGCAAAACCCTTTCGCAAGTGATACCGGATGAAGGACTCCAGTGGGCGAGCACTTGGAGCGTCCACGAAGCTGACGGTCGAGACCAGGAGGGCTGCTCCAGGCTCACTCTGCCCAAAGCGCGGAACTGAAGCCGGCACCAGGGGGGCTACAAAGTGCTCTAAAACCTCCCAGCTGTCCGGGCCCTCGTGGCCTTTGAAGCGGAATCGGCCAACGAATGGCGTGGCCATCTGCTCGTCCAAGTATTGCAAGAGCCAGTAGGCATCATCGGCCCACATCTTATCCAGCGGGATGTCCTCGTGACCGTACCATGCAGGCTTCATTTCTTCTGTTTCCTCTGGCTCCCCTTTCCACACACTCAAGTCAAAAACGTTGACCTCCATTGCTTTCGGTTTCGTATCATACAGATATGTTAAGGATCCACGCCAGTTCAGTCCATCCCGATCAGCTGTAAGCCCGCACTCCTCCTGCAGCTCCCTGATTGCGCTTTCTTCGAGGCACTCTCCCGGCTCCAGTTTGCCACCAAAGCCGTTTAGTTTGCCCTGTCCAAATCCACGCTTCTTTAGCCCTAGGAGGACCAATCTCTGCTGTGGTCTCCTCGGATAAATCCTCAGCAGATGCTAGAGGTGTGGGAGTGTCCTGTGACCGAAAAACGATCACCTATTTCATCGGGTTCAAAGACAAAGCTTGAAACGGATTGAGGCTTTGCAGATGCAGCCTGGGCACAGTGTCAGGACACTCTTCTCCCGGGCTTCAAAAGCGACGGCCATGGCGGAGAGGCCGATACAGTTTCCGAGGTGGTGTCCGAGGCTGTCATGAGAGGGACCCCTGCAAGACTTCTCCCGTCACGGATGACCATGTGATACTGGCAGCTCTCAAGCGAAAGGTCACGGTCTCGAATCAATAAGCTCTCAGCTTTATGGACTACCTAGCTTGCTGAGCAAGACAAAGCAAATCCTCACATCTCCAAGGCTCGACAACCCTGCCCTCAATCTCCACTGGATGGCTAGGAGCACCGACCAAATCTATGCCCCAATGCAGGCAGAAGACCCAGCATGCATTTAAGTACAGGTTTCAGGGAGTGCCGGCTGCCGTTTTTTCTGATGCTCGCACTCGAATGATTCGGGTTTCTTCACCGTCCACGTCACACCATCATCAGAGGAGTTGCAGAGCGACTGCTCTGCCTTGCAAGTCTGATATCCTTCCTCTCTCTGTCCCTGCGCACTGAAAAAAACTCCTGCGCTTCCCACACTGCAGCCAAAATGCAATCTCAACGCGCCGTGAAAATAATCAACCTGTCAGGTAGCTGACTCGAAAGGAGAGGTCGCACATGCCTTGAGACTAGAAGCTCGCAAAATGACAATCGTCACACCTCTGAAGATTGCGCAGGGCTCTCTGCAGCCGCGCTGGAGAAACAAGATGCAGGAAGCCTCACTGTGCAGCTGAGTCTCTGATTAGTATTAGTGCTCCACTGAGACAGGTCAAGCAACTGCATCTCTAAATCTATTTCTGCATGGCACATCCAAGCTTGAGCTCATGAGAACGTTACATCTCAGTCTGGGCCTGGCTCGTGAGCCAGGCCTTCAATACAATCGGATGCTCCTCAATAGTCATAATGGTAATAGATAGAAATAATAATAGTAATAATAGTAATAATTGCAATAATAGCAATAATAGTTATCATAGTAATAATAGTAATAATAGTTTTTGCGCTCCCACTTGTCACCCTGCTCTGCAGGTACTCAGTAGACTACGATTCACGAAGCAACACTTTCTAAGCCAAACTCTGAAAGACACTCCGCAACTAAAGACATGCATTCCAGCGCAATGCTTAAGGTCAGGGTCGACCTGGAAAGTGCAGCTCCCCATGTTCATGAGCTTTCCACGCGCTGCAGCTACACGTGGATGTAGGCACCGCTTTCTCTGCACCAACAAACGTTCGAGCAAGGCTACTGAGGGACCGAGCCTTTAGCAATAATGGTAATAATTGTAATAGTAGTAATAGTAGTAATAGTAGTAATAATAGTAATAGTAAGAATAGTAGGCCGGCGATGCGTGCGAGACCGGAATGCGTGCTTCTGAGACCATGGCGGCCAACTATACATGTTCGCCACATCGATTCCGCGCATCTGGTGGCCCATAACGACAGGCGGCGGCGCATCAGTGTCAAACTCCGCCAGGCTCGTCAGCGTTTTTGCAGGAGTCTATTTAGCTCAGATTAAAGCCACGGCCGCAGCTTGCGCTGGCAAACCTCCCTCGCTTAGCGACAAAGCAGTTTCGTTATCGCGAAACATTGCGCTGCTTTGGTGCCGTCGCGCAGGCTAGAGACATCTAGAAACCGTCCCGGAGAAATGAGATATGCAGCCGTCACTCGAGAGCAAGCAGCCAGGCGACACTGCAAGGTGTTGGAACAGCTTTCCACTTTTGCATCCAAAGTGCTGCCACTCGGCTGGTGTCGCCTGCAGGTGGTATGTTTCTCCAAAAACGTAAGACTCAACGTCTTCGGCATGGGCCTTTGACTGAGATGATGTGGCAAGCCTATCGTTGCTATCTTGCGGCTTCCTACGGGGGTGGTGTCCGGCGCTGAATGCATGCCGAATGGATGTGCTGTCAAACAAGTTTAGGAAGCAATACCCCCTTGAAGAAGCAGCACACCTAATGCCTTCACGACGCTGGCACGTAGATGCATAAGTTGAAAGGGCTTTCGAAGATCACGCAAACAGTCGTATGACGTATGACGGTACCACACTGCAAGTCATAACCATAACACTTCGGAGGAAGCACTGCAAATTTTCGCGATGCACTCGCCCCCCCCTGCCAGCATCTGCCAGTAACGCTCAAAATATCTTAAAATTGTCTGACCGTGCAGCTTCTCAGCTACCTACGTTCGATGAACCTGAGTTGAGTACACCTTATCAGAAAACCAATGAAACCATCGTCCCAACCAGACATATACTATCCTAAGCTGCCCACAGTCCCTCTGCTGATTTTAGTCAGCGGCTGCCATCTCGAAGCCCACACACATTCCTGGCCTTCTTGCCGGGCTCCCAGCTAAGGATATCGAAGGACATACCATCAAAGAAAACCCAACCTTGGCAACGGATGTTGGAAAGAGCTGGTCGCAGGCACATTGTTGAACAACAGCCGGAACCCTTACAAAAAACGTGGATCGGACGTGCTGGGGTCTTTGTCACTTCATCTTCAAAGTAGGTGATGAAGGGACCTGCATCAGATCTGGGCTTGGCATCAGACATTCGCAAAAGGCCTACTTGTAGTGGGTCTGCCGGTCTGGTCATTGAAATCTTGCACTGGCGAAGCTGCAACTACGAAGGCACATTGGCTGGCCTGTGTAGTTTCCCATAGCATCACCCTTTGTCCACACATGGCCTGATTTGGGTGCATATGCGTCTGTATAACAACTATATGAACCGGCCTGCTGCCATCATGCTTTTCACTTTTTCTACTCCAGCAACGCCAATCTGTCACAGAGGGCGGCTGATATCCAGGTGTGCTGTCCTAGGCACACCTTTCCCCTTCCGGGGCACTATCCTGGAGTTGGATTCCGACAGTAGTAGACTGTCTGATGTACAGGGCTGACAAGCACCTCGCTCCAGTGATACCTGCCTGTTCTGCATGTCATAGCCCACGTTGTACTCATAGAAAAGCGGCGTTCCCAGGATCCACACAGGGCCATGTTCTGCAGTCGTATACTCCATTTCGCCAAAGCCTGGCATGCAAACCGACTTGCTGTCAACCACGGTTTCTGTCACCCACGCCCAAGACGTCAACTCGAAGAGCTCTGTTCGTTCTTCGGCCACTTTTATGTGAAGGAAAATTGAAGGAATTTCGGCCAAGCCCGACTCGTGTAGCCACTGGGAGCAGTTTTGCAGCACCATTCCAAAATGGAAGGCGCTGGGCCGCCCAAGCGACTGCTCTCTGCACCTGGGCCACCTACTGCAGAGCTCCGCTTGCAAGAGCTTTACCTGCTGCGACGGTCCAGTTATCAGCGTCGTACCGGAATCAGGAATGATGCCACACGGACTGGTCATGCCTTTGCTCATTGTCTCCGGACCGCAAAACAGAACGCCTGCATCCGAAGGCCCATTTCGAGGGCCAGTAGACAAACCGAAGAAGCTGATACCCCAGTGCAGCTTTCCAACCTGCGGGATGGGCCGTGACAGCGGAGGGATGTTGAATCTTAAGGCGCCAGGTCGCTCTCCGTCTTGGAAGCACATCGAAAAGCGATCGATGTGTGCCATTTCAAGGAACAGCTTGGTCTCAAGTGGTTGGGCTTGCGGCTTTGGCTGCGGAGCAGCAGCAGCACAAAGCTGTGGAAGGATCAAGCAAATTACGGCCTCCATGATGCCTGAGTAGTCCGGCTCCTTGGTTTGGGCCATAACCGTTGAAGAGTCAGCGTGAGCTGCGACGGGGTCTTGGGGTAGACCCAGCCCCAGGATGCCTTGAAATTCCCCGGACACCTGCAGCGCTGCTCGGCTGAGGATCAGCAACACACCGTTTGTCATGGTGGCTGAAACTCCAGAGACGTTGACTATATCGCTGGCTACGGCCACCTCGATGGGGCCGCTGCCAAAAGTCAGCTGGGCGATGGTCGGGTTCGATGGAATGGAGAAGGTCGTGGACCTGTTCGTTCCTCGAAAGCACCTGTCATGCCTGCCACATCCGGTGCTCTGCACCTCGTCACAGATGCAAGATGGCACAATGATGTTGTCACTGCCGGTGTCCGCAACTGCATCGAAGCATTGAGGGGGTGTGCCAACACACACCTCTGCCGAGAAGAAAGTACCTGCAAGTGTGGCCAAGCCAAGCCTACACACCAGTTATCCTACTCACCTGCTGTTTGTTTGTTGCACACCTGCGGTCGTGGGAATCCTGGGATTTCTTATCGATTATGTGCTTGCAGCTCATCCGGCGCGCTGGCTTCTGCCGCGAGGCGGCTGAGCCTTGCCGGCTTCACGGCTGTTCGTCACTTCACTTGTACCATCTTGTACCGTTTATACCCTTTCGGCTTTTTCAGCTTTCCTCTTCAGTTTAGCCGCCGTCGCACGGACTAAGGTGACTAAGCCTCGATTGGAAGACATCCTTGGTGAGCACATGCCATCTAAATATCTGACACAGCATCACACCATTCATCGGATCAGCTCGTGAAGAAAATAAGACCGAAAAATATCACAAAAAAACACTGCGCATCATCAAGCGGGGCACAGCATCAGTAAATCGTGATTGGCAAGTTCTGGCTAAAGTCGGCAAGCATGCCACATAATGAAATCGGGTGTAAACAGCTGGCAAACATCCCTGCCTTGATTCTTCAGCGGCGTACATACTTCCGGCTTGGTGCCGAACACCGCCGAGCGCATCTGAAACATGGATGCCCCCTTGGCGCATTTGTCATCCGCCGTCCTTGAATGTTCTGCTTTGGCACATCCCACAACAAGACGAGAAAGCAAAAAGACACGTCCTGCTACATGCTGCAAGCTGCTGTCCCAGGGATGTGGCGATCAGTAGAGTTAAAGACAGTGCGGCGAGCCGACGCCCGGCAGCACGACTGGCTGCCATTGTTATGAAAAGCATGCCAAGATGGCCTGCCGCGGTAAGCTCCCGGTGAATGTGCACGGGCCAAAAGCCCAGCTCGAGCCGCATGCAACATGCGCGACTACTCTTCGCAACCTCCTGGGTAAGGGGTTCATCCTCAGGAATCCTAAAGAGAGAAACTCGTGTTACAACTTCCCATGATTTCCTGAAGCTTGCAAGCCGGCACAACGAGGTACACAATCCGAGGAGGCGACAGTTTCGAATGGACTGATCTGTCGGTGACACGACCTGGAAGGCCACGGCAGACGGTAGCACGAGTCCGATTCCTATTCACCAGACCTAGAGACTCCGAGAGATAAATCCGCTCCACGACCGGTCAAGTTGCGGCTTGCTTTCCGCCGTAGTGGGCATCCTCCAGCCAGTTCGGCGGCAGGAGCCCCACGCCCATCTCTATGACCTTGACATCATCATGCATTCAGCTCGTCTCTCATCGCACTTTAAGCCGGCCTTGCAGGTACCATTTGGCGTGTAGTAGTACCTCCGAAAATGACACAGATCATCGCAAGACGAGCAGCTGCCTGATATCACACTTGAGTATGCGGCGTGCTGCCGTTTTGGCGCTCGTTGTCATAGAACGGTGCTTGTCCGGGGCTCCTCGCAAAGTCTGCGTGCACATGCATCATGGCACAGTTGAGGACCGTCGTTTCTTGCGAGCAGTAGGAAAGAGCAGGGCCACTTAGCAGGCAAAGCACGGGCCTGTCAATATGGAGGTTCCCACCGTAGGGCCAGTCATAGAAGAGATCTGTGTGTCCTGATACAGGCGGTGCTTGTACGCAGATCGCCAGGTGCCAGGTGCTTTGATCTGCTGCACAAGCTGCGCAGCTGGCCGCTGCGGTTCTTCAACATGTAAGCATGGAACCTGAGCTGAAGCTGAAGAAAGCGTTAGACATCGTTGGAGATATCTGTGTCTTTCTCTCTTTTTTAAAGACGCAGGGATCCGGGCACGGTTGGCCAAGGCGAAGGCTGCGGAATCGCTGCCGCAACCGCGGCTAAGGCCACGGCCATCTCGGATAGAGCTGCGGAGTTTTCCATTCTCTGTGCTGCTTTAGCTTCGCGCTGAGGCAGGTGCGCAAAGTCTCATCATGGCCTGCATGGCCTACAGAGTCGAAGCGACGTGCATTGGCAAACACTGACAAAGATATCGGGCCAGACGCCTCTGAAGGGGCACGAACCTCTCCCACCTAACACCACCCTTCGAGCCCGGCATATCCACGCGAAGTGCATGAGCAGAAACCAGCGAACCAAGCTCACCTCATGACGTACCCAGTACCCAGAACATGGCAGCATTTTGTAAAAAGGACGAAGTCTATGAGTCTATGTGAGTTCGGGCAGGGGATCAAGTGACAGCTGTCTGCTGCCGCTCTTCAACCCTTTCCGTTCCCGGTTTGACACAGGCTGGTAATTTACAGCCCATTGTCAGTGGTTTGGACAGGTTCGGCGTCAATCCACAGCATGCCTCTCCTGCACATCCTAGCAAGAATGCAAGAATGTGCAGGTGCACGGCCGTGACGCAGAAACGATGGCGTCATCATCTCAGATCCTTGTTCGCATGTGGCAAGTGGAACTCACCTGAGGCAAAGACAGGTGCACAACATGTCAGTCAGCAGTTCTGCGGCGACAAGCGAGCATGGCCGGTGCAGTGCAGGCGTCTGCTTGCCAACAGGACACACATAATCATTCCAGTCTATGCCGAACCTGCCCTCGATGATCTCGAGCAGGAAGTCATCCTAGACCCCGCAAGGTGTGTGGGGGGGAGCGAGCACATACTGCAAATATGGAAGCCCAATGCAGGCTTCGAACATGCACACAGGCAGCCAGCAACATTGGAGCACATGCAGGTGCACGCGGAAGACTGCTTGGGCTTTTGGAAGCATGCCTTGCTCTTGATTCCCTTCTCTGGGGTCTAGAGTCCAGAGAGTACCCTGAGCCCTGCCCTGCCTGCTTCGGCAGCGGGATCTTCACTGCTGCCTGAGGCACGTCATGTGACATTGGAGAATCCTTGTCGGCGACTTTCACGAGAAGAAAGAAACTCAAAGAACCGGCGCCAAACACACCATCCTAGCAAGCTGCCAGAAGCTCACGGACATACTTCAGAACCGGATCGTCCTGGAGCTGAGTAAGGATCTGGTGCAGAGCAGACCACATGCGGGTGTGACACATTCTGAGATCCTGCTTGTTGCGGACGATGCTCTGCAGCTTCAGCCTTTCCGGTACTTTTCCATATGTGCATGCATGGCACGCCGTGGTTGCTCCCGCACTGGCTGGGCTGGACGTGGCAGCACTTTGGCCAAGCTGCATTGTCTCATTCAGGCTTTCGGGGCCAAACTTCTGGGCCACGAGGCCTCGGTCCCGAGCTGGCGATACTTGGCCGTCCAGCGTACCGATGTTCTTAGCAGTCTTAGCATGAGCAAGGCAAAGATGGACTTGCTGCCCGAGTTCTTTCCAGGTTGCGCTTGACCTCAGAAACACACACACACACACACGGAGTTTGGGAGTCCATCAGGACAGAACCAATCACTTCCAGTTTTGCCATAATATGTTGCTATAGTCGACGATCACCTGATAGCCTTATTGTGACGATCCTGACAATGCGACATGAACCTTAAAGTCATCCAAGCACACATGAGCACACATTTCGGCTTGCCAGGTTTTTGGCTTGGCCTGGTTGCCATTCAATCCTAAAGCAGGTACGTCTGGCTGATCAGGCCAGATATCACCATGTGCTGACAGTGTCTTCGTTGGGCAGTGACTGTCAGGCATGCACTGCCCCCCTGCTGACAAAAGAACGATGCAGTACTGGACAACATTTGTATCGCATGCACCAAGAACCTCTAGCTTAGAACCGAGGCTTACACCCACACACACCCCTCAGTGAGGGGAGAGTCCTGAGTCCTGTGTCCGATTGCCCTGCTGACGAGACAAACAATGCAGTACTGGAGAACATTGGCAACGAAAGCATCCGAACCTCTAGTCTACAAGTGCATACACACACTCACACGTGTACCTCAAGAGGGGCAAATCTGCGTCCTTTGTCGAATCGCATCAAGCATTGGTTCTTTTGCAAAAACTCGCGACATCAAGTCCTGTCGGAATCAAGTCCTGTCGGAATCTGTCGTTCACAAATGTCGGTAACCGTCTTCATCATGCAGGAAACAGTAGTGCGGCCCATACCAATCGTGTTGTTGCTCCTGAGCACTATGGTGACTGTGATAGCAGCAACGATTCTCGCAATGTTGACACCGGTGTTGACAACGAATGGGTCCATCCTGAAACCGGAATCTGCGATTGAGTCTGTCCCAAATCTGCCAAAGCAACTCCAGCAACTGAGCGGTGGATGCTTGACTGACACGCCACTGAGTGTCTCTCATCATTTGATTGTCCATGGCTGCTGATTACCTGCAAATTATGAAAACTCGAACCTGAAAGGTAGAACCGCGCGATACCTCCTGTGCACATGCTGCATGACGGAAAGAGACAAAGAGAGAGAGAGGGAGAAAGAGAAAGAGAAGGAGAGAGAGAGACAGAGAGCGCAACAGCAGTGGTCTTATTTCCGGGACCTGGGCAGCTTGCAACGGCTAGTCCGTCGACGATTTCTTCGCTGTCTTCAAGACATAGCGAACCAAGTCCAATGTGCTGCGGAACCTCTTCTTAGGTCCTGGCTTTTCCTTAACAATGCGATTTCCATGTTTTTGAAGGAAGCCGAGGATCAGCGAAGCACGATTTGGAATGTAAAAATCGTCGCCTAAAATGCGGGTGTTCTCCATATGGCGTCGAAACATCTTACGTGGGCTAGGAAGAATCTTAATCCTAACGCCCTCAGAGTCCTCATCCATCATGCGCAAGCGTCGTCGAGCTTTGTTAGACTGTGGCTCTGGTTCCGTAACAGGAACCGCTGCAGAAACAACTGCACTGTCCTCCACTGATTCTTCGTCTGCGGTACCTCCAATATGTGCAGAGTCTACATCCGATGAATCCTCCGGGTTGATGGATTGAGGTATGTATGTTGAAGAAATGTCGCCACTGTCAGCTTCACTCAGATTGTCGACGTATGATCCTGAAGACATGTACTCGTCAGAGATGGAAAAAGAATCACAGCCATCTGACATAACCTCCGGGACGAAGCGAGCCATGATGCAATCCCTTGCTCCTACCGAGGGTCCTGAACCTATGTACCGACAGAAAAGCACAAGGAACATTCAAGAAGCAAAAGTGCAACAGCAACTGTCCGGAAGCGTACCTTTTATGCAGAGTGAATCATGTCACCATACCTGTGGATTCCACCGAGTCGGGTGGTTCTGTACATCATCGGAATCCCTGAAATCTGGAGCGGTCCTCACGAAATGAACAACATCCAATGTAGCCAGTGCAGTGATAGGTTCCAGGAAAGAGAAATGCCTCCCGTTTTGATGTATTTGGAAGCACTGCAACTGAGGACGACGTCCTGTCAACTCTTTGATCCTATATGTGAGAACTTTCTTGACTGCGTCGATATTGTCCACACTGCAGCACACCAGATGAACGGTCATCGCCTGATTCCTGGTGCATCGATCAGCTGGCATCTGAACTGTAACTCTGACAACCTGCGGTTCACGTGGAAACCCCGCATCGGCGGCTGTCCGTTTCATGGCTTTGATGCGAGAATGCTCTAATCCTGCAGCCGGGAACTCCGAAACCAGGTATATGTGCTCACTGGAAAAACCTTGCGACAGAAAGAGAGGAGAAGGGGAGACAGAAAGAGAGAGAGAGAGAGAAAGGAAGAGAGAGAAAAGTGAGAGAAAAGCGCGCAATTCAACCTAATGCAACAACCGAGTTTTCATGTTCAAACAGGCATTCACAGAAATCCGTGGCTTCAGCTACTTTTTCATCTGGAATTCTATGGTGCACCCATCATCCTGGAGGATGTGTCGACTGAGACGTTTCTAGGCACTACATGTTCTGTCACACAGGGTACCATCACGGTGGTACAACCGACTGATGCTTCAACCATCCGTACACTGCAGTCAGTCGGCAGGAGGGAACATGTTCTTTCTGGTTTCTCGGCCAGGGTTCGCACTATCATCAGACTTTCACGACCAATGCGATTGATTCGGCCACAGGTGGAGGACTTAATTGAAATCTACCGGGCCCAGGGCTTTTCGAGAAGCGTTCTACAGCCCAGTGCACACCAGCTTTTAAACTCTGTCGGCATCCGATTCACGTGAAAAGGACAGGACCCTTGTCAGTTGCAGTAGACCATGTTGTTCAGAATGGTGCGAAAATTCCGAAGCCACATAAATTCAATGGCCGAGGCAACCAATGTGCATAGTACCGGTGCGAGCGCCGATCCCATGCTGGCTCCTTGAATCTGCCTGAAGGTATGGAAACCACATCGAAAGAAACTGGATCGTAACAGAAACACAACCAATTCGGGCAGGTCCTCCAAATGAAGTGTCTTAGTGTTCCTCGCAGCAAATCTACGGCGTCCACGAAAGACGCGAAAGGTGAGATCCTTGCTGCGACCAGAAACCTGAAGTGATTGCGACTGCCATGGTTTTTGCCAACGACCTTCAAGGAGCTGCAAAACAAAGAGCAAAGATTGCGAGATGCGATCATGTGGTACAGAGTTAAAGAAGCCGATGAGGTCCTGCTGTTTCATGATGGTGGGTTCATCTGCAGAAAAGCCCATCATAGAATGCCACATCATACGGACTGCTTCTTGCACCGACAGCACATTAAAAGTGGAAACTGTCGGGAAAACTACCAACATGATCTGAAAGATCGCCTTGGCCAGGAAGGTCGTCAAACGAGAATGCCAACAATGATCACACGCAATGATCGGTCGTGCTTTGCGAAAGTCCTTGTTGGGTTTAGGCAGAATTCTCGCTACAGGTAACGATTCAGTCCATTGACATCCCCATCCATATCTTTGAGACCACCGGGGGGTAGACTGAAAGCGCGTCTTCAGGTTCGACAGAATTGAGGAGCAACCCACACTGCATTTCTGAAAGACTGTCTCATCCAAGAATGTGGTGTCCAGTAGCGAATGAAAAGCAAAAGGACAGGCAACATGTAGAGAGAAAGGAAAGTGATCGGCCGGAGTGAAAACAAGTCCTCGCATTTGTCGAAGGTCTCGATGAACTGCTGTATGAACTGAGGACTTATCATGACAAACAGTCTGTTCATGTAGATGACATTGACATTGAACCCATTGCCGCAGTCCTGAATGAACTCGAGGAGGTAGTCTCCACCTTTTGCACCATCGATGCACCTCCCTGTTCGCAATACGCTTCCATTGTGCTGTAGGCAAAAAACATGTGTCATCAAGAATCAAAAGGGTCAAAGGAGAACCCGGAAGAATCTGACGTACATGAGCAAACAGGTGTCCTGTCGCCGATGTGGTCGAGTATCCCGTGCATTTGCAAGTCGCTGGCTTGCCTGGTTGCCATGATCGAAGAAAGGACCTGAAATTGAACGCGGTCCTGGACCACGGACGAGATTTGATCTCGATCATCTTGCAGGATGGCAAATGCAAAGGTGGAAAATTTATTCTCTCGTGCCGTACGATTTCACGAAGAACCTTGCATACTTCCTGAGCGAGATCATGTGCAAGGGGTGGAAGGCGAAGGGGTACATTGGTGGGTGGCATGTGTCCTTGCCTGAAATCCAGAATCAACCGCAACTGCTGCACAGCTCGAGTTCTGAACGGCTCGTCAATCGTGTGGACCAACCTGCACCGAAGATACAGCTCCTGCAGAGGTGTGCGATGAGAACGAAGTCGCCTGGATTCCAAGAATTTCTCCAAGCTGTCACTTCCCAGGCGATAGAGAGAGAGAAACACTTGTTTGTTGTTCAACAGATGCTGATGATAAATTCCATGCCGACGGCGAATCAAAGACTGACATCTCCTTGTGAACCGATATCCTGTTCTGGCCTGAGGTAGACGAAATCTGTTCTGCTTGATTCGTAGTGACTTCAAAAGGTCCTGAACCCATGGATAATTCAAAGCCGGTCTAATGGTCCGAATCAAGGCAGCTTCCGTCGCAAGCAATGACAAATGGTCAGAGTCCTGATGCAGGGCCAAAACGATACCTTGATAGAAGTCGTGTTTGCGATGAAACACTTTGAGTGCAGGTTCGAAATGAGATAATCTTTTCCTGACCAATTGAATGAACTTGCGCCGTCTCGAGGCTTCACGTCCTGGAACTGTTGACCTGGTAGCTCCGACATACAGTAGAGCTGTGGTCGCTGAACGATTCAGTGACACACGAAGATAAACCATACATGGAGTTTGATGCCAGGTCCATGGATAATGTTGGGGTACACGAAACTGTACCAGAAGATCACGAATGCGGACGAAAATGTCTGTGGAAAACCTGGGTAAAGCGTTCGAAAATAAAGCACACGAGAAAATGTGGGAGCGCAGCGAACCCACATGAATCTGTCGACCACCTTGTGGGGCATGAGAATGTAAAGAATGGGGAGAATCAATGAAAACCATCGGAGAAAAGTGACAACAAACCGCTGTCGCTTGGTCCTTGTCGCGCTCGTAGCCGCACATAGTCACTGGTTGGCCAGCAAGTGAGCTCCCGCGATCAAGCGAGTGAGGCACTTCTCATTCAACTTAGAAGCTAGAGAAACTGAGAGACCCCATTCCACTGCGATTTTATCAACTGGCTTCCTGCTACCATCATCAAGTTTTGCACGTGCAGCAACGAACTCGGAAACTGCGGTGTCAATCACTTTGCTCTTGCCTTTCCCGATAGCAGTAGATGCTAGCCAGTTGTTGACACTCTTGATGTTGTGACCCTCCAAGCTGCAGTTCTCAAGGTAAAGTGTGCTGTCACGACTCGGAAGATACTGCGAGAGGGTGTCCTGAGCATCTATCGGACCCGGGTCCTTGTTCTCTTCTTCCTCTTCTTCGAAGAGGTCATGGGCCGGCGATCTGAAGTCGGCGGTTGCTTCACCATCACCAACGGCTTCAAGGTCCTCGTCCTCGAAGTCGGGGTTGGGGCTCCTTGGTGCCTGTCTGGATTTAGAAGCTGGTGTCTCTCGACGACGAGGGAGAACGGGTTGAGAAGGACGAGGCTGCTTACCCTTCAAACGAGCATTCTCGGTCTCAAGAGCATGAAGTCGCTGCAGCAAAGTCTGATTCGTCTGGACTGGTGCATGCTTGCGAAAGTCCTTCACCAAGTCCTCAGCTAGCTTGTGGATGGTCTTGTAGCGAGCTGACCAATCATGAAGCTCCGAATCTGGATGCAACTTTTTCTGAGTAGCATTCAGAATGGTAACAAAATCAGTGCCTTCCTGCTCTGCTTGGTCGGATCGAAGTGCCCTCATTAGCACCCCCGCAAGCACCCCCTCCTGCTTCGATCAAAAATTCTCCCAATGTACACCACGACCATGAGCAATCTGTCGCAAAGCCCAATGGGAGGTACCCCCCGAAACCACTCGATGCAAGGGCACCTCGAAAATCTCCATACCTGCAATGCCTTGTTCCCGAGTAAGTCTATTGGAGGCCACACGTCTTGGCAACGACAAACCATACACCTTATTCGAGTCCCACTCCTGCGAGGTTGACCTCCACGATCCCGGAAGATTCGAACTACGTCGTTCGACTCTGGGAGAGCGAGTGCGAGATCTGTGCCGAGTGGTACGACCCGAAGAAGAGAATTCAGGACGTCGGCGATGCGAGCGAGGTGGGCTTCGAGATCGCGATCACGACGGCGATTCGACATGGCTCAAGTGCAACAGGTAGTGACAAAGAGAGAGAACCTTCAAGGCCAAAAGCTATTCAAAACACATGTGAACATGGCAAGATGCAAGCAGTCCTGCACCATGGACAAGATGTGTGACATTCCTGCAAGTCCTGGTTGTTTTCTCTGTCCTCTGCGAGACGATGTCAGTTGCCTGCACCGCGCTGGATCTGCTGAGCATGTGTCAGAGGAACCTGAAAAAGCGGGCGACCGAAAGCATCCCTCAAAGGAGTGAACTGTTTGGCAACTGCCACTGTGAAACCTGCCACTGTGCTCCTTCCGCTGTGGATCACATATTTATGGTCCCGTTTGAAGTGAACGACCCCATGTATGAGGCACTGTTGCTGGGCGTCTTCTCCACCGCCCGACTTCAAAACGAAATGCTGACCAGGAACACTTGCAAACCCATGCGTGATAATGGGACAAGCCCATTTGGCAGAGTTCGTAACCCTATCAAGAATCTGCACAAAAGACATGTCATCACTCCACGGAGTTGCTTGCGAATAGTGGCCTACAGCCTCTGGGCCGTCCGCCAATGTGGCTGGTGCCAAAAACCGAGATTGCATTATGCCCTGCACACCTGCCATATCCGAGCCATGAGCAAAATAATATAAGTTTCGCAGTCCGGCAGATAAATCATCATGTGGTACAAAGCGATCAGTCAGATCAAAGCTCCAGTAAACATGTGCCTTGGACTCATGGCATTTCACTCGACAGAACATGCGGGATGTATCTCCTGTATATTGACACATCAGTGTTGCAAAGCACCGAAGCTCGAAAAGAGGCGGGAGCTGAATGCCCGACTCATTGCAAAGGTCCGTTACAATCTTCATGTTGCCTTGAATCTGGTCCTCAGGAGCTGCCTGCATGATAAGACGACCTTGCCAGCTCTTGAGCTTGACACTGACTGCTCCACCCACTGTCCTCGACAGAACCAACTCAGAGTGCACGTCCTGCCCACTAGTCGTGAGTAGTGGATCACCTGCATACTGCGGAGGCTGCATTGGTGTACACTCGATTCCTGCAGAAGGTACTGGCGGAGGAGGTGGTGGAGGAGGGGGAGGTGCTGCTGCCGATGTTGTTGAGGCTGGCATCACATGCTGAATCGCTCCTAGTGCCGAAGGACTGCGAGAGGTCGCCATCTGAACAGCACGATCCGCCAGGTCCTGTTGAACCTGTATCTCCCTGTCAGACGCGGAAGACTCGGCAGCCGACACACTGTTGTCCTCTGGAGGCTTACAAACTTCGATTGCTCCCAACATCTGTTCCCTCCTCTGCTGCAAAACCTGTCCCACGGATCCCTTGGGAACCTTAGCAGCATTCTTCGCGCGAGCAAATCCTCGTGAGGTGATCTGTGGTGTCTCCACTGGGGGAGCAATCGATTGATCACTGTCTGATTTGACTTCCGAAGTGTCCTCCCTAGACTCAGAGGAAGAAGAATTTACCATCGGAATGTCCTGTCCTGTAGAAAGTCGATCAGGTAGAACATTGTCAATCTCGATTCCCTGGAACCCAAAATTGGGTATCGGAATCTCCGATGGTGAGGGTCCTTCGCCCTCCGAGATATCAATCCCGGTAACATCTGCATCTGGCAACGATTCGAAGCTCATGTTCTCAAAGCAAAACACTACGAATAAAAGAGGAGTCAAGCCGAGATGCTGCCACAACGATGAATCATCTTCGGTATCTCTGCGTCTTTCGTTACTCAAGACTGCTAGAGTCACTTTAGGGCCGACTGGCCACGTACGCCCATCACCTGACCAATCGGGGCACTTTCGTTCCGGTTTGCTCACTAGGAGCACTTAGACCCATCACCTGACGAGAAAGGGCCACTCTTTATAATGCCTTTGCACCATTGACCTGTCCCGAAGGAGTACGGCCTGTTATGTTACCATCTTGGGCCGCAAAAAACGTACCCTGGCAGTCCGCAGGAGCGGTTATTGCCGTTGGCGACAAGGCCACACACGGAGGTTGGGAGTCCATCAGGACAGAACCAATCACTTCCAGTTTTGCCATAATATGTTGCTATAGTCGACGATCACCTGATAGCCTCATTGTGACGATCCTGACAATGCGACATGAACCTTAAGGTCATCCAAGCACACATGAGCACACATTTCGGCTTGCCAGGTTTTTGGCTTGGCCTGGTTGCCATTCAATCCTAAAGCAGGTACGTCTGGCTGATCAGGCCAGATATCACCATGCGCTGACAGTGTCTTCGTTGGGCAGTGACTGTCAGGCACGCACTGCCCCCCTGCTGACAAAAGAACGATGCAGTACTGGACAACATTTGTATCGCATGCACCAAGAACCTCTAGCTTAGAATCGAGGCTTACACACAGACACACGGACTGCTCATAACCGCGCCGTGGAAAGAGGCATAGCCGCCACCGTCTCATCGACGCGCCCTTGAGCGCACGACGCGGGTGAGCATGTGGTCCGAGAACTCGGAAGGTACACCTGGGATCAAAATTGACAGGCATCGTACGAGACACCAGCTTCTCAAGAACAATGCGGCAGCTGGTCTGCAGCGAGCGTCCGCCGGACAAATCGGTAGCTGGAGTGGTGCTCCAAAACGACACCGAAATTGCCATGTTGTCCTTGCGGGAAACAGTGTCAGTGTGAAGTTGTCTCGACAATTCTCAAGTTCGAGCAATGCCAAGAGGTGCCAAGAGTCTAGATTGCGGAGCCAATGCCACCAACCGTAAGGCCTCCGGAGACTCCAGAGCTCGGGTCCGACTTTAGACGCAGTCGCATCACAGCTCTGTGATTCTATGCGTCCGAAGTGCAGGTACAATAGGTCACCAGCCTGGACTGCACAATCCGACGCATTGTGAAACTCTCCGAAACACCCTGGTGCTGAGGCAGCGGCTTGTAGCGTGGCGTAGTGTCCACTGGCGTGTCTAAACTTCGGGAACGCATCCAAGTCCGCCTCTAGAGGGCTCCCTACCATTGACCTCGGCTGATGCATTCCAAATCACCCGATCCGATTGATGAAGCCAATCCACGAGAATGCGTAGCACATGATACGATAGCATTTTAAAGAGGTGATCTCGCAGAGCTTGTGTCTATGTGTCGGGGGAAAAGCTATTCATGCTTATAGCCAAGCAGCTGCCGATCACAGGGATGCGTCGTTGGGAAAGGATAGAGCTTCGAATAATCTACGAACGGGAACACCACGATCTCCTTCAGCCCTCTGACCTAGCAGGTGCTGGATTGCCTCCTATCCGAAGCAAAAGGATCAGCCCGAGCCGGCCTGGAAGAACAAGTTTTCCCGCTCGTCAAAATGAAGTGGCGTCTCGGCGCCCTGCATTCCAATGAAGAGCTCCTAAGCTTTGCAAGCCACGGCGCTAAAAAGAGACACACTCTCAATCATTTGACACCGAGCCATGACGTGCTGTGATCAGCAACCCATCTTGAACCCACCAATCTCGGAAAAGAGTCGTTGGAATCTGGCAGGCCCCAGCCGCAAGCGTGGCTTATCCGAATAGGAAGTTCCCATTTCCAAGTAGCAAACTCCTCGATTTCCATATGCGATCGCATGATTGAAAGCATTGTGCACGGGAGTTGCTACGCATTGTGCATGGGAGTTGCTACCGTATTTCTCACTCGTTTCCGACTATCCCATCCGTCCTCGGACATCTCTGAATGACCGGACAATGTCTCTTGCAGGTACATCCGCTCAGCAGATCCTGCACCACTCAAGTCGCACAAGAGTTTGTAAGCCGCTTTTGCTGGAAAAAGTAGCCGTACTTAGTGTTTGTGGTTGGGAAAAGCATTCCTACTCCTGCCCTGATCGGCATTGGACTGGTAGACACGTTCGCATGTGTTTTCCATGCTCTGAAGTGTGACATTTCCGCATGTACTGCCGTGAGATTTGCAAAGTTGTACATGGCAGCTCAAAGCGACCGGATGTTCTGCAGTTCTTGCCAGTCAGGTGCTAGCCTAACTGTCGATCTCAAAAGCTCCCAGGAGAGAACCCCCGAGAGTTCATGGCCGCTCCCCTACGCGTACCCAGCCACTCACTTTGCTCTCCACATCTCGGCCCCAGACCTTCGCTAAGTATCCGGTCAGCTTGCGCCAAGAAAGTCGTGAAGGTGTCCTGACTGCGGTCCCTGCGAAGTGATTCTGCTGGCCTGCTATATCCGACGTGCCTGCAGCTCCCGCACTGGCTGCCTCGGAGCAGTTGCAGCTACTGCGACAGAACCCAAACCTCTCCCCTGCCATGCGGCTTGAAGGTAAACTTGCCAGAGTTCTTCTTCAAGTCAAAGTACCCTTTGTCGGGGGCCGCACGGTAGGCTAGAAATGCCAATGCATCTGATGCAGAGGCTGCAAATGAACGAGAAGTCATCATAAACCAGCGCCGCCGAGTAGCGAAACTTAGAATTGGGAGACTTCTTGACCAGCACCTGCCATAGCCAACACAAGCCGATGCTGCAGACCACGTGTCTAGGCCACGTTGCCTGGCGATCTTTCCACAGCTGTTGGACATAGGAGACATCGTCCCACTTCTCAGCCTTCAAAACATGTGGAAGCCAAAACCCAATTCCCTGGAAGTCTTCCAGACACAGACCGGATAACGTGATGTGGAACCCTTGATAGCCGACTCTGGCCTGTATGATGCTGGAGCCCTCGATGATCAGCGGGACACCCGCAGCAGATTGAGGCTTCATAAGCTCTAGCACCTGCACACCAGGCCGTCAAGACTCGTCAACCCGTCACAAGGATGTGAAAACCTGCCTCGTCCACGCTCGTGAACTTGACTCTCCTCACCGCAGGCAAACACAAGGTCAAGCCCGGAACCCGAAACCCAATCGAAGAAAGCGCACCGCCCGCACATCCGACATCGCCCTCCCCGCCTTGTCCACCCACGCCTCCTAAGTGCACCACCCGCGCACACCATATCGCGGTTCCTTGTCCATGCCTGGCCCGCGCATTGCCCGCACATGAACCCGATATCGCGTTTGCCGCCGAATTACGCCTCCCGACAACCCAACCCCAGAAGTGTTCTCAGCGCCGATGCAGCCTGCCGCTCGACGCAAGGCCGTCTGACCGTTCCCTCCGCCCCTCGTTCCGTCCACCCTGTCGCCCATCATTCCGCCACCCACGTCCAAGTCCGTCCTTCGTCTAGTCTTTTGAAACCCTTTCCGATATCTCGCACCTCGCGAGGAAAAACTAAACGAGTACCCAGAAAAGCTGCATTGACTCAGCTGACATAAGAGCCTGTCCTGATTGGCTTGTAGTGGGCAGGCCATGCACTGGAAGGCAGTGCTGGAACTCGGGCAGCGGCAGGCGCTGGGTTTGGAACCTGAGCACTCAGCTGTTGGCACCGCATTCTGTCATCAATCCCTGGTTGAGCAGCGCAAATGTTGAGCAAACTGCGGCTGCAGATTCGTTGTAGCCACCAATCAGCATTTGAGTAATGTCGCTGTTGGCCTGAAGGAAATCGCAATTCGGCTTGAGCCTGTCTTCAAAGCAAAGAGTTTGAGCTAAATATGTTTGTCGTGCTGTCTGGTCATACAGCGGCCGTGGCGGGTAAATTTTGCGAATCCACTTACCATTCCAAGCCCTCTCTCCGCGGCTGTCAGTGCGGCGAAGGCGATGAAAGTCTTGCCCGGCCCTGCATGGCCTATGTTGTAAGCGAGGCCCTGGCAAAACTCACAGCAAGGCGGCCCCCCGAGTTCCCCCCCCCCCCCCCGGGGTGGCCTCGCAGTTCGCCTTTGCGACACTGAGGAGCGCCTGGCCAGAGCCAGAACTCCAAAGGAAACCGGAGAAGTGGAAAAGTGGAAGACTCAAATGGGGGTATCGTATTTTGGGGTCCCTGATATCAGGATCCTGCTGCTTAGGGTGCTATATTACGGTTCCCTATTTTCGGAAACTCCCTCTTTGCTGGGCAAGCCACCATGTGTCCAGGTGTCCCGCGCACTCTGGGAGGATGCACAATGTCATGCAATGTCGATGCTGGTCTGCTCATCCTGTGTTCTGATTCTGTAGTTAGGGCTGTTAAGCTCTGCCGTCTCTTGTCCCAGTGCGAATAGTCGGAGACAACGTTGATCGAAAAAATATGCCGCTGCACGCATGACGGCGTAATGGCCAAGGTCCGAGCTGCTGAACACGTGATGGTCACGGGTGGCCTCAGCACTTGGACCTGCTGGTCTGAGCAAAAAGCTCCGGGGGCATGAAGTCGAAAGCGATGATCCGAGTCTTCAAAAGCTGGTAGTACTTCAGCCTTGGGGGTTCAACCTTCGTTGAGCGGGTTGCACACCTCCGCACAGTACACTCGAAGGCAGTCTGTCGGTTTTTTCAATTCAGCCAGGATCTCGTGCTCAAGTGCAGCCTGCACAACGCCCGACTGTAACTATCCTGATGCGCCTTCTCTTTGGATCAGCGATGGCAATCAGTTCTGTACAGGACTGGCTAAACATGAGCATCCACACTACTCACTACTCACTACGAGCAGGGACTCCACCTGCTACCAGTGCTCCGGGCATTGCTCCTTGCGTAGCTCAAGGCACGGCATATCCCAGGCTCGCCATAGCAGTCGGCATCAGACCAGGCTGCAGGCCTGAAAAAAAGCTGTTCTGAGCACAACCACGCGCAAGCTCCAGCGCCACGGAGCCTGCATCAGGCAGCATGAACCTGAAGAACCTCGTTGCGGTCATCTCCTCGGTGACACATTTGCGATGTTTCTGCGCCGTGTTTGTGGGAGCCGATCTGCAGCCAAAGCTCTTCTTCTTTCCCTTTCCGCCACGGCCTCCGCCAGCTCCAGCGGCTTTGCCTGTGCCTCTGATTCACTCTGAGATCCGTCGGTAAGATTCTCAGTGAGATTCCGGTACCCAGCCTGTGACTGCAACATAACCTATTCCAGCAATGACGACCAAAACGATCAAGGCGGCGATCGTGCTGTACCAGGAGCTCGAAGCCTTCGCATGAGAACCAGCGAGTCTTCAAGGGAGCCACACTCGAAAAAGGCTTTGCACGCTTGGGCACAGGAGGGCCTTCGGCTTTCTGCTCGGGCCGGCGGAGCCCCTGCTCGGAGGAGAGGGCCCTGCGAGGCAAAGGTGCTCCCCTGCCATCTCGCTGGCACTTTTGTCTATCGGCCAAGGCCTGATTCTGCATCTGGGTCTTCACCAGCCTGTAGGTGACAAGCATGCCGGACATCTCGGTGCCTCAGGGCCCGAGGCGATAGCCTCAATCCGCTTCTTCCGCTCCCACGCAGCCTCCGTCCGGTAGCTGCTTGAAAGGCTTGAACTTCTGGCAAAACTCACACACAGATGGTAGCATGCAGCAGCGCCTTCATAAGCCTTTCCCTTTTCTTCTGCTCGGCCTGTTGTCTCTGTTCCTCTTCCTGCTGCTTCTTCCTTGGGGTTTGGTCTGTTGCGCAAAAATCGCATGAAACCGGAAATTAACCTCGGCACACGAGCAAATCATGGCTTGGGACCGCACATGTCCGCAAAAGCCTGCGCTGCGATGCTTGTCCGATCCTGCTACATGCGGCTGTGAGCTGGCCTCAGGGTTCTCTTCCTTGAACTTTTCCAGCTCTCTTCTCTCTGCTTCCTAGTAGGTGTTGCAGGGTTGAGGCACAGGCGACCAGCTGACAAGATCAAACGCCAACAATGCAATTACAAGGCGCTCCTTCTTTGCATCAACCTCCTGGCAAAAAGCTCGGGTTTGTCTTTTGGGCATATGATCTGCATTCGTGAACAGGATCCGGGATTGAGACCTTCATCTTCATCCGTTCAATGGCTGCTTCGCGTTCCTTCTTCCGTTTCTCGCGCCACTCCTCCTTTTCCTGTCGGTCCTGGTGACGAAGAAAGAAGCATCTGATCTGCAAAGCCCGGCCAAGTCGGAATTCGGCTTGGCCTTCTCTGACATACCCAACTCGTCGGTCACAGCCTCGGCCTCCTCCTGGCGGAGCATGTACATGTTACAAAGAACAAAGCCACGTCAGCGTGTGCCCCCCGTCCTCGTCTGCAGGGAGCGCCCAACGCATCACCTCGAGTTCTATTTCTGCTATCCGCCTCCTTGTGCTCTGGCATCACCCAGCCAATTTAAGCCCGTTGGCCGACTGGCATTTCTCCGAAATCTCCTGGCCACTTCCCAAAAAACAAAGACCACACAGCGTTGCAGCCTTTAGGTCAGGCTCGGTTCTGCTTCGTTGCGAAACCGCCCGCGCCTCGTCAGAAGCACGGTATCTCATCAAGCAGGGCATGGTCTCCTCGGCAAAGAACTCCTGGCATCACGAAGCAACTGTGCAGAACGTGACGACTTCAAGCTGACGGTCATGCACTTAACAGCATGTGGCAACTCCGTCGGACCTGTCCTCGTCACAAAGCTGCTCTATCTCGTCTGCGCAGGCTGAGTTGAGCGCCATAAAATCAGTGCCTTAAGAACTTTTTGTCACTCGCTCTCGACAAGTCAGGCGAGGGGTCGGAGCCACTAAGGAACACAAAGAACTTCCACAGGCAATGCATGACAGCATCGGAAGACTGCAGTCAGTGGGGCCGAGCCCCGCAAAAGCCACTATTCGAAGGTTCTCCAGAGAGCAGGGTAAGCAACGCCTATCAGCAAAAACGATTATTTGGATTTTGGAAAAAATCCACGGGCCCCGTAAGCCGCCGGCATTCGGAAGAGATCTCGGTCGGTGTCTCGTGTTGGCCTGCATCCTCGCAGATCTGCTCTGCGGGTGCTCAAGCATCCTGCCAAGCTGCTCTTGCGAAGCGTCCTTCAGACATGTTACCAGGTCTGATTTTGGACCTCAGTAGACGAAGTCCAGACGGAATAGACATCACTGTCGTCACGAACTCTCATCTACGACTCGCACAAGAGCGGCAAGGATCCACACACAAGTCGTTGTTTTAAGGTCTTTGCTGTCGGGGCAAGCTGATGCGATTTCTGCCTGGCAAGCGATGTGGCGAGGCTCCCAGCTGTTGCCTTACTAGGGCATCCAACCTCGCAGGGGTAGGCCAGCACGCTCCTTGGGCATACATGCAGGAGCAGCAGCAGCCAACACGCGCGCCAGCGGGCGGTCATAGACCTGAGCTCGGGGCGTGTGCACAAAACGCAACATTGACTCTTCCCTCTGTGCATGATGAACACTATCGAGGCGACGACAGCCCCTTGCACGTCAGCCGCGGCTCAAACCCCTGCCAAAACGCCTTTGTTAAACAACTGAGCAAACAACGAGCGGTCTCATTCAGTCATCAGCAGGCATCACGTCAACACATCATCATGTTCCAGGTTCCAGAACTTTTTTCCGGTTCCAGAACTAGATGCAAGGGCTCGTGCAGTGTTTCCGCTGGCAAATCGATGTCGCATGCGCACATGCAGATCTCTGGGTTGCGGGTCCGCTTGCTGCGCACTTTCACGCTCAGCCATCGGGTTCACGAGCGCTCCATCTCGATCAAGTTGTCCGCGGGTAAGCATCGAGCAAGTCCATGTAGAGCTCATGCAGAGATCTCCAGGTCATCTAGAACTGCAAGAAGGAAAAGCCCAGGCCGAAGCGCTTGCGACCCCTGAGGAAGCGAGGAGAAAACGAAGATACTTATGAACACATGAGAACATCATCAGCTCATTAGCACTGGTCAATGCATGAACAACTACGAGCAGAACCACCGCCATGCATCCGGGGCGATACAGATGCAAACTAAAGATCGACCTGGCGTAGGCCCTAGGCCCAAGGCGAGCCAGTGCGTGGTCCATGGTCAGAGTATGACTTGAAGCGTACTTTTAGCAGGAAATTATAGGCGGCGGTGGCAACATGCCCCAGCATCAGCGACAGCAAAACACCGTCGCCCTTCCAAGGTCCCAACTCCTCTACAGCGAGGATGCCAGGCAGTGCGAAGACGGGCAACACCAGCGAAGGCCTGCATTGACAACACGCAATTCTGGCTAGCGTTTGTGTGCAGGTACCTGTCTCATTCGATGCCGCACTGGTGCCGTGTGCCATCAGCACTAGCAGTGCGCACTTATCATGTGGCAAGTTCCAACTCACCCTTGTTGGATCCCACATCCGCGAACCCTGCATCCAATGGCTGTTCACTGTGGACAATGTAAAGGTGACGGTAGATTGGTTTCGGACAACATGCTAGAGTGAAAAGCTGTCGTAGTGACGGCGTATTGCGATCAGAAAAAGCTTTCTTCGACGATCTGCAGACAAACAGAAAAAAAACTTCAACAGCCACATGATGTTGGACAGCAGCCACATCGTCGTGAACATGCTCAAGACGAACATGAATCTGCTAAGCATCGGGCCAGAAATCGAGGCGCTCCATCCTCAGCCCGTGTCGCTTGACATGGTTCCGGTATTCTACGCATCCACACATCAATTCGTGTGCAAACCGTTGGTAGGCGTCACGAGTATGGTTTTTCGAACTCGAATCTTTAGAAGGTTGAGCATATCAAATGTCGAAAGATATTGGGGAGTTTAATAAGCGAAACTATTGGAGTAAAAGGTTTGAAATTCGAAAGATTGACAGCTTCGGGATTGCAAACAGGCGCGAGATTGGAGTTGGAATGTTGAGAAAGGATTCCAGTCTGAAAGTTTTGAAGCCGTGGCGGCGTGTGCCGTGCGACGGACGTTGCGTGTAGGACGCAGGTGTCCACAAGGCGCCTCCTAGGCTCGAGGTGGAAAGTTTGACGGGTTGGAGTTTGAAAGGTTGAAAAGCCCGAGAATGAACGCTTGAAAGTTCAGAAGTTTGGAGTTCGAACGAATCGAACGCTGAAAGACTGAATTCGTCAAATTTCGAAAGTTTTGAAGTTCGAAGGACGCGGAGTTTTGAGAGTTCGAACGCCTCCAAGTTTTCAGATTTTGAAAGTTCGGAGCACGAAAGAAATGGAAAGTTTGAAGGGTTCAAAGTTTGAGCTTGAAAGCGTGCGATTTGAGGTTTTGTGTATGTAAAGTCTAGTGTTTAGGGTCTATCTCGTGTGTCTGGGACCGAACGCTTGGAGTGAAGGAAGGGTGCCAGAATAGACTAAACCATCAACACCATCCCACACGAAGCAAGCGTAGATGTACCTTAATTCCGAAAACGGTGCAAATTGGATCAGCTGCCATCGCCACACGGGAGAGTGAGTTTAGGATACGACAACAACCGATCGGATGATGAGGGGGCAGGCTTAAGACATGCGATGTTTGAGAGGAGCCCGCTGTGAGGCATTGGACCCATCGCAGTTACCAAAAAGAGCGCGGATCTGAGATACGAAACCAACCGCCATCGCAGAGCCTCCTGAGGAGCCGGTTAATAGGCATGATCACTCGCCATCTTCTAACGAGGGGCCCCACCCAAGATATGAACGGAACCGCCATCTCATCATGGGGAAGCGAGTTTAAGATATGGGAGTAACCGCCATCGCCTAGTGATGCCATGGCATCATGGAACCAATCGCCGTAGGGGCCGGGCTCAAAGCGCCATCGTTTAAAGAGGGGTCGGGTTTAAGATACAAAGCTGAATCGCCGCTGCCGCGCGAAGTGGCCGGGTTTGAGATATGGACGTCCATCGCCTCATAGGGGACGGGATTAAGACGCCGCACTCGCCTCCTGAAAGGCCGGGTGTACAACCGCACTCACCTAATGAGGGTCGGTTTAAGACATGAGCTTAACCGCTATCACTTACAAAGGGGGGGAGTTTAAGTTCTGGCACTTGCTGCGGCCTTTCAAGCTTGGAGACTTTTTAATCTCCTACTCTGAGTGAAACCTCGTAACTCGAAAGTCGCTGGACGTCAAACCTTCGCACTCGACGCGTTTCAAACCCTTCAAACTGCTCTCAAACTCTCGAATTTTCAAGCCGTTCAATTTCAAACTCTCGAACTTTCCAACTCCAAGTCTTGCAAAATTGAATCTATCGAACGTGTTAAAAGTCTCGACCTTACTGGCCAGCCGCGGACCGAACCTGAAGTCAGCCTTTCAATGTGTTCACTTTCAAGCTTTCGAACCGTCGAACTTTCAATCTCGAAACTTTCGAACCTGCCAAACCTTCGAACTATCGGAATTTCAAGTGTTCAAGCTCTCAAACTTTGAGAGCCCATCCAAGTCGGCCGCGGCAAAAGTTTGAAGTTTGAGCTCGAAACAGCCAGTCGAGCTCGAAAGCTCGAAAGTTTGAGTTCGAATTTTGACAAGATTGAAGTTTGACGCCGCGTCGCAAGCGCACACCGAGGCGCCCGAACTTTCGAACTCCAGCACCTCTCAAAGTTTCAAAGTTTGGAACTTTCAAGCTCAAACTCTCAAAGCTTCGAGTTCGAACGACGTCGCTCGGGACGCCATTCAATCTGTTGCATCGGCTGTTGCCAGCCAATGCCCCGACTGCACACTCTAATGCTGCAGTCAAGTCTCTCGAAAGCTCCCCTCAGCGTGGAGCTGTGCATCACCTCCAGTCGAGATGTTGCGCTTCCTCTTGACCATACAACAGGTTGGACGTGGTGGTTCTACCCTCCGCACAAAACCCAACCACCCACGTATGACAGCTGCTGCTCCTCACATTGGGAAACTCCAGGTATTCCAGTTCTCAGAAGACCAAGACTGCCCGATTCGAGCCTCTCGGGCCGAAGTGCTGGTAGGCTCAGATGTTAACGACGATGTACTGCACGTACTCATGCATGACTGACACATATCATCCAACTTTGCGACCCAAGCCGTGCAAGGGCCAGCGGAACCACCTTCTTACCCGCGCGGAACCCCTATTTCCAAAATTTTCGCAGCCAGCACGAGCATAAAGGCATCAGCCCACCTTCTACACAAAGAAGCTGGACACATCCGCTGAATCTACGAGTAGCTGAAGCTGCACTCCAAACACGAGAGTTTCACGCCCAGGGTCCATGAGGCTCAGCACCACTTCGCAGCAAAGAGTGATGTTGAGGATTTGGTTCGGAAAGCCGTAGCCACCTGAACACGAATGGGCCACAGCCGAAAACACTGCATGGTGCATTTTTCCCTACATCTCGGTCATCTTGCCAAAGGCATCGCATGGCTCAAGGGAGCTTGGAGAGATTCCAAACCGAGCTTTGCAAGTTTACCTTGCTGCATGCCAAGCGATGAATCGAACACGAACCGCCTGAACCAAAAAGTGGCTGCCGCTTGGTCGTAGAGGCCAGCGCAGCCGCCACCTGCCCAAGCACCAGCGTCCAGTAGTAGACGGTCCTGGGCCGAGTGCTTCCCAAGGCCCACGGCTTGACATAGATGAAAGGCACGACCAAAAAAATCCTACAGTTCTCGGTTCTCGGCCCAACATCAAGACAGCCGGATGCAAGTCATGTCGCATACCCCGCTTCTCCAAGACTTTTTGCCACATTGTCTCCTCAGCGTAGATTGTTGACACATGCACCGATCTTTAGATGCCAACCTTGCCTCCGGCGTGTAGTATGTCAGGTCGTCATGCGTCCGTATTTGGTTGGCGAGTCCTTCGGTGGCCAAAAAGTACATCATCCAGCCTCACATGTTCAACTGCTTCACAGTCGTGTCGACCGCTAACAATTCCACAAGCGCATGCGTAGTGCCATCGGGGAGCAGAATACAGCCTGCAGCACCCCGATATAGCCATAACTGTACAACAGGATCTTTGAGCTTATCATGCGCTCCTGTCAGACTGTTCTGTCGCAGTACAGCCTGCACAAAGTGTACCAACACGCAGCAGTTTGACGAAAACCATATCTGAAACAGCGACGACGGCTCCAGTCGTGGATGCCGTGGTGATCTGTTCATCAGCGAAGTTTCGGGACCTTGAGCTGCAAAGGCGACCTCGGCAGGACAGGTGGCCTAAGATGGTAGCCTGAAGCCTGATGCCGCAGCCGTGGCACTAATAAGCCAATCAGTTCCACAGGCTTTGCGTGACGCCAAGGGGCTGCAGTCCAAATGTCCGTGCCAATATCGATAAGCAAGACCTGGCACATAGGGCTCGGGCTCCAAGACCAGCGATCAAGGAAGGAGACGTGGATGGGGTTTCCCCCCCTCCCGTTTCCCCGACGGTTTTTCCCTTCGGCTCCAAGGGTCATGTCTGGTGAGCTCGCCTGCACTGCGGCAAGTGCTTCAGGCAGTCCGAAGACTTCGAAGAAAGCAGGTAACGCTTGCGGCCTCCAGAGGTCCGCAGAAGGCTACCACCGTTGCACATTACCTTTTGTTGTTAATGAACCAGCAGTTGCTTGCCAAGAGGCACTTTGGAACACAGCGTATACATGATCGACTTCTGCAAGTTCTCACCTCAAGTTATCGTGACGTTTTCGAGCATTTGAAGCGCCCTGGCATCGGCCATTGAAGTGGAGTACTCTGGACCACAACAGATAGTGCCCCACACCCCCTGCAGCTCGAAATGTCCGCCCCCCCCCCATCCCCCCCGACCGTCCTAGACGGGTCTACAGCCCGTTGACAGTTGGACTTTCCGCAATCGCAACGGGAGAATCAGGATCAGGAGTCCACGAGGGCAAGACCTCCCCTTTCATGTTTTGATTCCAAGTGCCAATGCTGCGTGCTCAGGTCTGCTTTGAACTTACAATCTCATCCTGACCTTGTCTCTGTGGCAAACCGTGACCAGGCTCGGCCAAGGCGCTCGCAAGTCTACCCTGCTCCATGCCTGAGATCGCCTCAGCAGTTGCCATGTACAATGCGAAGCTGCGAAATGTGGGACCAAGCTCTTTGCAGAAGAGAAGTTGTCATCGAGCAGAATGATGTCCGCAGCATCCTTTGCCAGCAAAGATGGCGAATTCATCAACAAATGTGAACGTGCAGTGTGGGTCTCGCCTGCGCCACAGACGTCCCCCGGATCCCCATGGCAATCCCCACCTGACGGTGGAAACGGCACGTGAATGACACAAAAGCTGCCACGGAGAGGCCGAACGGCCGAACCAAACAAGCTTGAGCCTCGGCTTGCTTCAAAGCTGGCGCATCATTGACGCCGTCTCCAGTCATTGCAACGACATCGCCAAAGCCCTGCTGGCCAAAGGTTTGGTAGGCCTCGATACAAGATTCTGGGGAGGTGCCATGCAGCGCGTCGACAAAGCAAATCTCCGCAAAGCCTGGACGATGATCCGCTTGTGCAAAGGCGAAACGCGGGCAAACACCCTGCAGGACTCAAGTTCGTCACTCCAGCCGTATACTGCACACACTGCTTGTGTAACTCCCAACTTGTCTTCTGACCCTCCGCAAGAGCAGATCCGGGCCTCGTGTGCACAACCGCTTCGCGCCAGAACTCCTCCGCAGGCGACGCATGGACAAAGCAGGTGCCATTTTGCCGATCAGCCTTGCCGTCTGACTCAAGACGAGCAAACCCATCGTCGAGCGGCAGAAACTCGTCCAACTCCTTAGAACACACTACACTGCGCGACATGAAGCAAGTAAAACAACAAACTAAACAATAAGTTGACAATAAGCAAGTTTGACAGAAATACGACCTGCCCAGACTCAGATCCAAGCACTACCTTGCACAGCACCATGCGGTGGACAACCGGCGCTGACAACCCAAGCGAGCCTGAAAGCGCTCGCTCTCCCGGGATAGCTTCGTCGTGCTAGAGAGGATGTTCAATCTCTTGGCGATGGCTTTGGCGGTGTCCCCATGATCCCCTGTGACCATCACCACCTGCGGTCAACAACCCGCTGCTGCTGGAACCAATGCTGCTCCCGAGCCTTGACACCTGCGGAGTGAGCCTTCTCAACAGCTTCACGGACGCCTGGACGCGGAGGGTCCTCGAAAATTCGTTGGTCTCCGCCCTCGCCGCAAAGGCAAAGAAGCATTGCTTCAACGAGCCTCCATCGCGAAGAAGCCGAGAAAGCTACAGTCTTGCAAAGGGAAGTTGCAGCTATTCAGGTCGCCACCTGTACTCAGTGGCAAGCTTGAGAAAGGTGCAACAAACAGCTCCTATGTCCTATCCCACCTTGGAACTCGCCTTTGTGTGGAATGTCTTGGGCACTGAGTCTTCGTCCAGCCAGGGCAAGCACGCGCAGTCCCCTGGCGAGTCGACTCACATAACAGAACAGAAACTCACAAGCAAACACCGCGCGCCTGTCCATGAGGCTTCCTCGGCACACACGATACACAACAGCCGGCAGCAGCGTGCAACTCCATTTCGACTGATGAAACCAGACAGTTGCATCCCAGCTGCGCAGGTTGCTGAAAATTTGCTCGTCGGCCGTGCACAATTCCAGCACTCTCTCAGGCGCACCCTTCACGATCACCTCGTAAGAAGGGTCCTGAAGCAGGGTCATCAACAAATCAACATGCCTTCACAAGAGCAGGTGGTCCAGCAGAAGCAAAACAACTTCGAACATACGAGGCCGCAGGGGGCTGCGGTCTGGAGAGGGCAGGGGTCCTCTGACCCAAGTCTGTGCACCTTCGATTGTGGGATGCCCACCAACAGAACGTATCATCAACGGCAACACTGCACTCGGGCCGAAACCGTAAGCATCCACTTGTTCTCCGAGTTGAACGGAATGTCGAAAACCACATCCTGCCGAATGCTGTGGTCCTGACATCCTCCATAACGCGACAGAACCACAATGCCCACCGCAGATCATCGATTCTGTAGGCAGCATCGTCCACTGCTCACGTGGGGAAGAAGGAAAATACCGGCCTTGCGCGCAGGAAAAGCCACCGCCTCTTTCAGCGGCTTTCCCAGCCTGGCTTTTGAGGTCTTAGTCCAAGGTTTCGCCGCTGTACTACTCTGAGCCTTGCGATACGATACTTGCCACCAGTACATGTAAGTTTTTACTGTCCTTGCTTCTGCTCCTCCTGCTACCCCGATTACTACTTCGACTTTTACGTCTTGGGCACTTCGGCTTCTACTACCACCACGACTTTGGCTCTTCTCTCAAGCGAGCAGCAAACCTGAGCCCATTTCACAACAGTTTCTGCATGTGCGTACACAGTTCGAGAAGGTGACTGTACAAAGTTGTTGCCCATTGACCCAATTGCAGCACACGGCTCGGTGGCGACTCAGCTGCTTCCGCGAGCTACACCAGCATGAGAATCAGTCCCAGGAGCATAGTTGCAGCTGCTCTACAAATGGCGACTTCAGTGGGGGAGCCCACCACCTCTGCATGCAAGCAACGAGTATGACAGCACCCAGATTACAATGGTGCTGCATCGTGCCTGGGCAGCGCCAGCCCCAGACGAAGCCTGCACGGAGCTCCCCACGCCACACGCAGGACTAGAGCTCAAAGGGCCTGAACACTGTTGTTCGTAAGTGCAGCAGCTGCAAGCTGCTGCAAGCGCACGTCTCCTCGAACAACTTCAGCCTGCACAAGCAAAAATAGAGTGCAAAGATACGAGGCAATGAGTATTGGGTGAGCGAGTCCTCCCACCTGCAGCTGCTGCATGCTGAAAAGTGAAGCCTCGGATGGTGCTGACGTGCAGGACATGAGCTACAAACTTCTGTTTTCATGCCTGGATGCTCCACCTGCGGCCGGTACCAGAACGTGCTGCACCTCAGCCCGGTCTCGAAGGACTGCCAACCCGTGGGCATGGCATCTGTCTGCATCAGCTTTGACTTCTCCGGGAAACACGGTACAATCTTGCCAAAGGCTGCTGCTGTCATCTCGCCAGTCGTCAATGTTCCAGTTTTGTCGGAACAAAAGACGGAAGCACCTGCAAATACAACGTATCAAAGGAGGCACCGAGACGGACAATCAAGCGGCGCACCGTCCCCAGTCACTTCCAAGGCAGGGCTCTGCAGCCATGCCTGGCCCTCCAAGCCCTTGGGCCCTCCAAGCCCATAATGAAAGGCAGCCTGACTGTGCAATGCCAAGTGACATCCGAGAGACTCGATCGCATCAAGCTTCTTGACGACGACTTGCTGCCTGCCGCGGATTTCCGTGGCACTTGATAGCCTCACCGGCCGAGCATGCCTGGACATCCTGGACGATGCTATCCTGAGCCGAAAGCCAAACAGAAGCCGACTGGCTGTTCATGGGTGTTCCACTGCATGCTTGTCGTCCGAGCTGCATCAATGAAAACGTGACGGTCGGCAGAAGCCCTTCAGGCACCTGCACTTGGCATGTTGACATGCAAGCACATGCCTGTGCCAAATGCATCGGCCTGCGTGAATAACGCAGTAGCGCAGTTCTCCAGGATTTCCTTGGGCTGGTGGTGGAAGACTCCAGCAAGGGATGGCATTTCGTGCATGCCAAGGCTCTGCAGCACTTCGCACCTTCGGTGCCAGCCTGAGCGGTGATAATTGCAGGCCCAGGAATGAGCTTCGAGCTAAACACTCCCGAGGTCCACAAACAACTATGTAGCAGTCGTATGCAGTCGCAACCTCTACGACGACTGAGGTCGACCGTATGTGAGGTTAACCATGCAGGTGAGGACAGTATGGTCGACTGCCTGATGAGAACAACAGCCCAGCTACTGCCCAGCTTGTCCGGCGACCCCATACTCACGAACCATGCTGACAACCACAAGAAGAAAGGACTGACCCAGGGGGCTCGAGGGTGTCGGGTGTTGATTTAATTTTGCAGGGCATACTCCCAGTAGTACAGTCCGGTTTCTCCGCTCGCCTCACGTCACCTGCAGACATCCAAGCCCCCTCAATCCTTGGCAGCAGCTGCTGCCTCATGAAATCTTCTGCAGATGCTTCCGCCTCCTGTGATCTCAGGGATAACCACTCCTCCTCTGTGTATTGGCGTAAGAGCACAAGGCCCGTGGCTGGTGCCAGATGTTCGGAAAGATCCACTGCGAGAAATGATGCTAGAGCAGCTTGCAGGGTGGCGGCAGCAAGCTTCCCGGAGTGAACGGCCAAAGCAGAGCCAGCAATATATCGCACCATGTTGTATAGGAATCCATCACCTTGCACCTGGATGCAGCCCAAATGGGTCCCGGGAATCTTCTCTGCATGTGCCCTGAGAACGGTTCGCTCACACGCTGCTCGCATGGATCTGTGCACCTGCAAAGATGAAATTGCTCCAGCGTCAGCGCTGTAGTTGGCATCCCGCCTCGACCTCTTCCAGCTTTGGAGACTATGAGCCCATGATTGGAGCTGGGGACTTCGCTGAATTTTCTTCTTCAGCCCTTCCAACTTCTTCAACTCCGTGAAATTGGCAAAGCAGTGGTCACCAGTAAACTGCTGAAGTATCTCCCGAAGGCCCTCGATGTCCCCGTCTATCCACCGGAGAGGAAAGAAATAACCGTATTCTCTGGTCACATTGTGGGTGTGGCGCAGATTCACGCCCCGAGGTCTAAGCAGCGCTCGATGAATGCGAATGCTGGCCGGGAGCTCCGAGGACAGCGCACGAGCTGCCTCGATTGGACCTGGCAACCTCAGCACCGCTAACACAGGGCTCAGGGGAGGAAAGCTCGCTTCGCACCGGTTTTATTTTAGTTCGTGGTTTCGCAGGAGCAACATGACAGTCGATTTCTCCGGCTCACACCGGCACTGTCGCCTACCTGCAACTGTCACACAGCTTGGGGCTGTACTCGTTCGCCAGCGGCTTGAGCAGAGGTGGTGTTGTCAAGAGGAAGCTGCGAGCGCTCGCACCGGCATCTACACGGCTCAGGCAGGCCCACTGGCTGCGACCCGTTCGCGAACCCGGCTGCGCGCAAACCCAGCCAAGCTTCTCGGCACCCTGCATGATCTGGCCGAGCACAGTCGGGCGCGACTCTTCAGCACCTGTGCTCTGCGAGCCATAGTAGCATGACCCATCGAACCCAACCTGAGCTGTGCTTGTCCGGACAGAAAAATTCATGTTGACTTCCTGTTAATAACCCCCCCCCCTCGATTGATTGCTCGCCCCGGGTAAGGGGGGATTGACTATTGAGGGGGGTCCGTCGTCGCTTGGTTTCTAAAGCTTGCTGTCCTTTTCCTGGCCTCTGAAGGCACAAGAAGTAGCTAATTTGTTGTAGGTTCCCGGCGGGGGGGTTTCTTAATTGAGAGGGGGGTTTCTAATTGAGTTCCAGGGGTGGGGTTTTGTAACTGAGGGGGGGATTATAAAAATGAGGTCAACATTAATCTGCAGAGCGTCCCACAACACATATTCAATGGGACATCGAAAGTTATCCGAAAAGCTCAACCCAGCAACTTCCAGGAGGAAACTCTGAGCACGAAATCGAGTTGGAGGCCCTTCGACTCTCAGTGCTGTCGTCAAAGCTCGAGGGTCAAGTAAGGCATCTTCCGGAGCAAAATCCTCCACCAAAGTCCTTGGCAAAAGCAGCCCGTTTGACAAATACTGTCTTCCGAAGTGAGTTGGCTTCACGACGAAGCCGCTCTCGGAAAGCAGCCCGTCCCAGCCGGAGGCCTTTCCAAGCTTCTCCGGAAGCTGAGCTCCGACCACCACCAAGAAAGCAGGATCTCCTTTGTAGAACTCCCCTGATCTGACCACTACAGAAAGCTGGCAGTCCGGAAAGTCTGGGTCCGGAAGGATTGCCAACTCGAAGCGGCCGTTGCTCGTCAGGTGCGGCACCATCTCTGAAACGAAGACAGGGTGCACAAGTGGCTCGGATTCCTTCGGCGACGCCGTGCAGGGTCGAACGAGGCGAGACTGAAGACAAGGGCGGTGAAGCAGCTTCTTCCCCAGGGCCAAAACCTTCAAAGTGCCCGCAAATGCTACCGAGCAGGCACTGGGAAGCCATCGGGGCCTAGCTCTGGTCTTGATGGCCTCTGTGCTGTTCAGGGGTGGCGCCCTTACAGGGAAGGAAAGAAGCATCTCCAACCTGCGAGGATATGGCTGCGCGGAGTCCGGAAACCAGCCATCATGAAGCGGTCAGTCGGTCATTCATCGTTATCTCTTCATGAAGAAGCCTGCCTGAACAATTTCGGAAAGCTTGCCAAGTTGCAGATTTGCCAGGAGAACGCATGCAGCCACTCCACCCGCAACTTTTGCAATGGTGTGCACCTGTGAAGGACAACAGGTGCAGTAGAACAAACCAAGCGCGACCTGTGCATCGGTGCAGTTGCAGCAGCTGGCTTGGGTATTCAAGGCTTTCGCCACGTTTGGAGATCGATAATTTGGAGTGAAGGATCGTGGGAGTCTTTGCCCCTTCCTCGCGAACTAGCCAAGGAGAAACCAGGCTTTCCAGTTCAGTATCAGCATAGGGGCCGGTTAACCACCTTGCAACTCAAGAAAATCTTGCTGTGCTCGGCCCTAGCTTTTCCGGTACACAAGCCACACCGTAAACACATGGCCCACTGCGATTGAGCGACAGTTTCAAAGTACAAGAGGTACGCGTTTGCAAGATCCCTTTTAGTGCTGGTCGCAGCACGAAGCTTTCCATCTGCACTTCCAGCGAAGAACGGGGCGAGCCCTTCTTCATGGTATTCGCGATTTGGCCTGCCAAAACACCAGCACCGAGTGTGGGAAGCCCTGACTTCCGATGTCCAAACAGCCCTCATCTGAACCTAAGTCCGATGTTTCCGAAGCCCGTGCACACTGGAATTAAACGCATAATTGATAATTGACTCATAACTGTCATCAGTCATACAACACTCTGACATAGATGCAGAATACTTCTAGCACAAGCTTTACTGCACACGGCGGCTTTGCTTGTGGCAAACACATGAGCAATATCTTGCGTGCCTAAGAAGGTGCCATCACCGGTGGCACAGACGACGCAGGTTGCAGTTCCCTTCAGCACCGAGGTGCCAAAGAAGGCCAGGCAGTGAGCCTTCGTCAGGGGCCTCCTCCGTCCCTCCCTGTCCCAACATGCTCTCGATTTCGGATGCCCCTCGGCCTCTGTGGCCGGCACTGCAGGCAGCTCGGCGTTGGCACTGCGAGGTTCAGGTATCGTCTCGCCTGTCAGTGCCGCATTGTCGACCTCCATGCCAGTGCTGCAATGGATGATTCTCACATCCGCGGGGACCCGCTGACCAGGCTCCAAGAAGATGATGTCACCGGTCACCAACTCAGTAGGTGGCACCTCTTGGTCCAATCGCTGGCCACCGTCTGAAATACGAGTCGTTCTTACGAATTCAGCGGCCTGCATGTTGCGAAGGGCTTCCATGGAAGATTCGGCTTTCAGTTCCGTATAACACTGCAGCGCAGCCGTGCACAAAATGACCAATGACAGTATGGCCGGCGTAACAGGGTCCCTCTCGCCCGGGTAGACGAAAAGTAGACACACCTGGCTGGCAAAGCCCGACTTCTCTAGAGAGAATGGGAAGGCATGCGGAAAGGAAAGAAACAGTCAGAGCACAGTGCACTTCTCTGCAGCCTCTGCAAATACACAGGCCCACAGCAGGAGGTTCAGAAGACCCGCGAAGGCAGTCCTGTTGAGAAGACACCACTTGAAGGCAAATGCCCTGTGGCAATCTCCTATAGATATGGCAGGAAGTATAAGGCAACACAGAAGAGGGCACCGGATCCTTAGGAACTTCTCCAAGGGAGCTTCGACTTCTGGTGGCGTGAGCATGTTGGGGCCGTCCTGGAAAGGTGCGTGCCGTGCCGCACGGTGCGAATCAAACGATTCTTGCCCCACTGACCAAGGCATCCTTGGCGAGGCGCCGGCGCACTTCAGCGCTCCTCAAACCACAGGGACCAGTCCGGCAGTGGCTCTCCTCAGACATAGCGAAAGGGTATTGCTACCAGCAGCAAAATACACAGCTTCTGGTGCATTGAGTCCTCACGGCTCGGAATTGAAGTGAGGAGGCGCCGGGCCAACGTTTCCAGTTGTAGGCTGTGAACCGGATCCAAGTCTATCAGCTCCTGAGAATACCGGCACTGCTCTGCTTCGCCGTGAAGCCCACTCCACGGCTTGTCGTCCTCACTGCCGCTTCCAGACCTGCGCCGGCGCAGCTCCAAGCTCTGGCGCTGCCTGGCTGAAGCGTCTCTCATATCTTTCGAACGACGGGAGACCGCACGTGCTTCACGCGCATATACAGAGTCAGACTCGCATGGTCGTCCTATAGACAAGCAGTCTGCATAGCCCTGACGCCAGACCCTGCCTGACACACTCGGCTAGACCAGTGATTTCATCACTGTTCGATGTCCTTCCATGACGCACAGCTGAAGCGCATGTATTTGTCCAGCTCTAGGACTCTAGGTGACTCAGCCATTACCACGAACAACAGACTAGATTGGCTGTGCCACTCATGCGGCAAAAAAACGGTCCGGAAGGTTCCGCGCATGAACATCCTGAGGAGAAGGGGCGACAGTTACAGCTGCAACGAACTATAACGGCATGAAAGGCAAACGTATGTGCCATGACGCCACCTCACACCTGCTGGCTCAAGCTCATCGTGGTCAGCAAGTAATTGCCTGCTATGTGCCAGAAAGTGTTCGAGTACGCAAACTGGCGCACGATACGTGCCTGCCGCCATCCGCTTGGCCAAAGCCCTCGTCACACGAGGTCCTGCAAGGCTTCCGATGCCAGAAGAGCAGCGCCATTCCCCCACCGCGGCCCTCCGGTCCGGTGGGCTCCACCGCGTGCCGCCTGCCTGAAGCTAAAGATATCGGATTCAGGCGGAGACTCATGTTTCTCAGCGACCAGCTGCCTGACGCTCGCATTTACCTCTGGCGGAGACTCCGCTTCGCTCGTCCTCTGTGGGATGCTGTCACAAGTCAAGTCCAGCTCCCACATTCCCCGAGGAAAACAGTCTCGCCTGCCGGCAGCGGCCAGTCCAGACTCCTCATCACAGTCCGATGTCCTCCCAAACAAAAAGCACGACCTTGCGACATGCCGCTGTTGAAAGCACACCCAAAGTCAGTCCGGTGAGCTCGCCCGCGTGCTGCCTGCCTGACATATGCACACGAATGATTACGTAAACCGCTCAAGAAAATTGCTGTTGCTGGGCAAGGTTGACTCGGGAGCTTGCAAATTACCAACTTAGGTCACCCCGGCAGGCTAGGGCACAGTTAAAACAGTTCTCCTCTTCTTCACAACCACACTCCAGGACAACTCATGATCATGGCGGGTCTGTACTGTCTCAACGTCACGAGTTAAAGACGAATCAGTGCTTCACAGCGCCGCCTCAAACCAGATGCTGCTGGCTGCGCGGCTTCACTGTCACGGGTTGCCAACCTGCGGGGTCACAGCTGCCCAGAAACCACGCAACGTGCTTCCGCTCCTGCTCCCATCGGCTTCGGCTGCTTCGGCTGTGCCAGAGCTCTCACTGCTCGAAGTCCTTCAGAATGTTTCTTTGTTCGTCAACAGCTACAGACTATGCTCTGTCGGTCCGGTGTGCACGGCCGCGGGCAGCTTGCCTGGGACGCGCAGCATGCAGTCTCTTCAGCAAAAGCCTTCGAATCTACCGGCGCTGTCTGTCATCCACCTGCGGCAAAGCGACCTTACCGGAGGGTCATGGCCCTCGGAGCCATGTCCAGGAACCATGTAGCCTAATGAGTGCCCTCTGCCATGCTCTGCTAACTTCGGGGGCCATGAGCACCCATGCTGTGCAGCTGACCCATTTGGAGCCCTTCGGTCGTGCCGTGAAGGTGGAAGATAAACTTCTTGAGGAGTCCAAGCACTGCGCAGTACTTGTGACTTGTGAACTGCTGGCATACACTAAGAAGCATGCGCGAGTATGGCCTGCCATGAAACTTTTTGAATGTCCGATGCAAGCGACTACATGGAGTCAACAAGCCCTTGAAAAGGCCAGGATAAACTTGACGGCTCACTGCAGGGAGTCCGAAGCTTGAGGGCGCTGCATCACCACCTTCGCTGCACAATGCGATACAATGCATGTCTGCCTCTGGTTCTGGACATGAGGATTCACTCAACTCGGGAGGCTAATCGGAAATAGGGACGATTTAGGCTTACGGCTTACAGACTCCAATGACTCCAAAAAATGCCGACTGGTCCGAGAAACCTGGTCGACAGCATGACTTCCTGAATCTCGATGCCCACACCACGATGGAGCAGGCCTGCCGAGAGCCATGCCCGCAATCGACGCGCTGCCGGACGCGCTGGTGACACCAAGGCCAGCGACTCAGACAGAAAACTTGAGGAAACAGCTCCGGCAGCAACCTGCTGCCAGGGCAAAAGAGCCGCAAACTCACCCAAATCCCAAGAAAGGACTTCGCGTGAGTACTCCGGCCCGAGGTCTGCGAGGCTGGCCAGTATGGCCGACGTAGAAACACCTGGACGGCGCCTTGCCAATTCACACTGTGCTGTCACTATGACTCGTCGACGAAATGCCCGGCAAATGGGGGACCCCTTTGCGAGAAGGTTCAGCTGGAGGAGCAAGGTCAAGGTCGATTCCTGCTCGGCGAAGGCGTCCCCGCAGAGCGCGCCTCGCAACACGCCGGCAACGCGCCGCAGTGTGGAGCCCTGGGAGCCAGCGAGACGGAGCGAGTGTAGGGCCAAGCCGCACCTCGTGGGCGCCAGGAGCGCCGTGGTGTCCAGGACCCGGCCCGCCAGGCTCTCGTCATGGAGCTGGAAGGCGGCACGCCAGGCCCGGGCCAGCTCACATGAGAGGATCGTTGAGGAGATGGCCGGCGAGTCGAGGAAGCATCGGTCGGCTGCTGAAGACTGAAGACACAAAGCCTTCTCCCACTGCGAAGTGTTGCAAAGAGTAGCCATCGCCGCCCCGACCGAGGCTCCATTCCATGAGCAGCTGCTGCCAGCATACAGTAATGACAGCGCTTGGGTCCAGTGCGACCCCTTCCTTACATGAGGGGGTCTCAAGGTTGAAGGGAACGGCCTTGTTCAGTATTCTTCTCAAGAAGTTCTACACTCATCCATGCCAACAAGCTAATCTTGCCCGAAGTCTCACACGCAGCTACTGCTGCGCTGATGCAGGCAGCACTTGCCACCAACCCGCTTGACGACATCTCGCGCAGAAGGAGAAGACAAAGCGTCCATTCGCGTCCCAGGCTGCACGCTGCAATTGCGGAACCATACGTAACAATGTCACGGACGGGGGTTCCCACGCGGGTACGGCCCAACAAGATGTGCAAAGCCCTTTGCCATTCACCCCCACGTGTGCAGGCAGCGCCCGCGGCATTCAGAATCGCCCTGTCCAGGCCGAAGCGATTCTGACCCGAGTCCGGGCCCATCCACCTGAACATCGACCTTGAAAAGAAGCCGATTGCCTGCTGCCAAGCGCTGCCGCGTCCGCAAGCGTCGATGGCGATGCAAACAGCCTTCGCGTCGAGAGCACGGGGTGCACTGGCCTTGGAACGTCTTTAACAAAGCGCACCGACGCCCAAGACAACTATCAACCTCCTCGTGCATTCAAGACTCCAGTAGCTGCACAGACAGTTGCCATCTGAGGGCAGGGCTCATGATTACAACTAGAACATGTCACGGCTTCGTTACTAGCATTCAGTGAACCTAACTTCCTACTTCCAGTTGCGGAGGTCACAAGTATCTTCTCTCTGAAAGATTCAACACAATGGCCTGTTGCCTCCCCAACTAGCAAGAAGCACGAGCGTCGACTGCAGACACATGGTCGAGGTGAGCGAACGGTGTTCGCGAAGGAAGTACTAGCTTTAAAGCTGGTCCGTGCCCTTGAGCTACAGGACCAAACTACTTCCCCATCAGGATCAACATGTTCTGACCCGCTCTGGAACACCCGAGCACTACCTGCAACTGCTCTGCGGGACTGACAACTTGGCAGACTTCCAGCTTCGATAAGATTTGGTTTGTCCATGTTTGACCTGCGACACGACCACTCACCTTTATGAAAGCAATGCCAGCAGCCAATGGCTTGTTAGGCATGCACAGAGCTAAGGGCGGAGTAGTGCAGTAGAGTCTCAGTATAGAGGTAATGAAGGCGGGGCACTTGACACTCTGAGGAGCTGCTGTCACCGTTAGGCCTCCCATCGCTTGCAACTGCGCAACCCGCTTCGTGCCTGGAGACTTGCCCGCAAGCACTTGCAGCAGCAGAGACCTGGCCGGTGCGTCTGCCCGGCCGTCGTGACAAGAACTGCATGACTCACGGAGGGTTTAGTGCTGCGCAGTGACGGCTGCAAGCGATGGCTGCATGGACTTATGCCGAAAGTCTGCCATGAGCGCTGTTGCTCGCTGCCACTGCTTGCCTGCCCCACAGATCGAAACAACGGAAACAAGCATCTATAGACCTTGTCGGGCTTGACCATGTGCTTGGCAGCATGTTGATGTGCTGCTGTCCAGGCTTTTGCCGAACATATTGTTTTGCCATAAGCTTGGACAGTGTGGGAGGGCGACCAAGATTGTAGAGTCGAAAACTAGCTTCACGCCTTGCAACTGAGCAAAGCCTGCTGTGAGCATGTCAGTTCATCTTTCCGTCCAGCCTGCAGTGTCAAGGGCACTGCTCCCTCGTGCGATCTGCTGACATAACGACACGAAGATCGATTCCCAGGACAGCCTACATTGCAGGATTTTTGCTCTTGCCAACTCGCCTCTGGAAAGAGCAGCCACGAGAGCATTGCAGCACACCTGTCGTGAAAACTCAGAGCGGTTACTGCAAGCAACAGAGGCCCTCAGCCGCCGGCCAGCCTCGTCTGGAGAAAGTCCGGCCTGCAGTCTTCACAACATTGGGCCAGAAGGGCCCGAAAGGCCCATGCCCCGCCTCCGACTCGATTTGAAGAAACCGACAAAGTGCTTGACGCCATTCTCCCTTCCTTCCATGCTGCGCTATGAATTGAGTTCTCTGTCGCAGCAGCCTCGCCGACATCCTAGAGACCTAGAACCAGCATTGAGCCGCTACGGCATGAGCTTTGGGACACAACGCAAGAAAAACTCAGTGCAAACAGCGAACCCCTGGCTGCTCCAGCATTGCATGTGACGGCAACATGCTTTTCGTCCACATCTGCATGGCCAACGATCAAAAGTGAAGCACGCGAAACTTCCAGGTACCATCATCCGGATCATAATCCTCGAAGATGGCACCCTTCTCTTCTGTCATTTGTGCCACACGCTGCTTGTACCTGTGGCGCGCACGGCTATCAGTCAAGCACGATTGCGATTTGGGCATGCAGCCATACAGCACGACCGTGGCTGGCTTGTTCAAGCCACGCCCCACTTCTGGCTTTAATGCGGCATCTGGATACACTACGATCTCTCCGCGCTCTACCATCAAGATGTGTGGAAGAATCTTGAGCAAGCTGCGACAATCTGTCTGACCATGAAATGTGATGTGTCCAACACCATCACGCCCAACGACCAAGTCCTCGACACAACAGAGCGCCTCATCATCCAACTCCCACAAGGGAGGATTCACATAAAGGCCCCCCAAGTCGGGTGGAGCTGGCGCTGTCTGCCCGTTGGCTTCCTGTGCCGTAAAAGGAGCCGTTTCTTCATTGCTTTCTCCCTCGGTGTGCGCTCCCTCGGTGTCTGTGGCTCGGAGTTGGAGCAGGAGGCGTGCAACGGCTAGGCACCATTCGGCCAAAGGAGCAACAGCAGGGCATTTGTCAGCCAATGACCCATCACAGAACGCAGGCGCTTCCAAGAATTCAAGGAAACCTCGAACTCGGGAAGATGGGCATCTTGCTGCTTCCATGGCACTGAAAGACATTAGCCGGTGCAACAGCATTGAATCCAACCTTCGCTTCACTGCTGACCATGTTGGCTCGTAGCAGCCAAGCAGAGTTGAAACTGCATCAACCACCTGACATACTGCCGCAGGTGGTTGCCGGAATGATCGCAACTCGTGTAATTTCTTCAGAGAAATTGGACGAGCCGCATGCTCAACTGCGGCTGCAGCGACCGCTATGGCTTCCACTTGTGCGGAATTCAGTACGACTTCACCCTGCGCTGGCAAGATACTTGATGTGAGCCTTTCTGACTTTTCTGTTTCCTCGAGCGCTTTGACCTGGCATGCCGAAGTGCGAGCCTCCTCCGCAGATTCGCCAGATTCATCAGGAACGATGTCTTGATAGTCTGCTGGCGGTCCAAACTTGCTAACAAGTTGGCGTAGAAGTGGTGGTTGTCGCAGTACCTCTTCCGAGTCCTGCACAGGAAATGCCCGCAAGAGGCTAGCATGAGAAATCTCTTGTCCTTCACCGGGGTCATCTCTGGCCGAGTTCGGAGCTGTCAATGGCAAGTTGCTTGTAGCACCTTGGGATGGCAGCTCGGCCTGGTATCTGCGCACGCTCGCACTGGGCCGCCGTGCGGGCATGGCCCTCAATCCTGTCCCATTCACATCGGGAGCCGTGTTCCCCCCATGGCCAACAGATTCTCTGGCCCCAGCCGTGGAATCTACAGTCAATATCCTGCTACTGCTCAAAGGCCGACTGAAACACTGCTCTTGCCGCTCGTCGCCTGCAAAATATCGCTTCCAGACACTATTCTGTGGGCTCGACTCCAGCGGACCGGTGCCGAACGAGTCAGATTGCAAAGTCGCACTGGTTCTTTGCTCTGCCGATGGCGACACTGCATCGACCAACACACTCCGCACGGTGTGCACCGTTGATGTGCCTGGAGCTTCCTTGTCGCGAGATTCGACAACCGACCTTGCAATAGGCTCTTGGATTTGACGGTGAGATGCTGGCACGGATAAATGACCCGTGCACAGATTCTCAACTGGACATGTGGAAGTGGCTGCATTGAGCCTAGTCCGTGCCGGATACAGCTTTCGTGTTGATGGTGAGATATCGAGCGGGGTGATCGCAGGCCCTTCCGGCAAAACATAGCCACTCTCATCCACGGCAGAATGAAACGAAGACCCGATGATGTTGGAGGGTGGGACCCCAATCCTGACAGCTGCCAAAGGCAAAGCGACGGGGCGCTGCCTCTGCTGGACTGTTGGTGGTCGCCTTGTGCTGAGATCGTGCACTCTAACATCCCACGATGTTCGCGGGATGGGCGGAACAGAGACGCTCCTCACTCCTTCATCAATGTGGGGTGTCACGATGCCTGAAGTAGATTGTGCTAAAGAGCGCCGGGGAGTCAAGCTGGCCCTTGGTCCAGCATTGTAAATGGAAGTATTCATCGGTGCCATTTGCACGCATGGTCGTGCAGCTGAGGGTGAACACCATTGTCGTGGCAGACCACCAATGTGGCTGGGAGGTGCTGCAAGGGGTTCGTGAACCCAGGGTGCAATCAACGCCGCCATACCATGACCATAGCAGCGAAGTGCATGTCTAATATGTAGTGCTTCAACCCTGCATGGAATGTGAACACCTACATACATGGGCTTACACATGGTATGGACGGAATATCGATACCCCACATTGTCCCGTGCTGCTTGATGTCCGACTGCATGCATCGAGTCAGTCACGATGGTTATCTACGTGCGTAGTCTTGTCGAGCATGCTTCAAGACCTTTCTTAGACGGTTTGCGCAAACTTGTTTGGCTTCCAGTGTCGTACCTGTGCCTTTTATTTTTCTGTCTACTAAGCCTGCTAGGGCTAGGGTATCTCATTTCAGTCTAAATTCCCTCTAGCACCGGTGTTTCGCATATCCATGTTTCTGCGCTTTCAAGCCAAGAAGGATGCCGTGGAACCAGGCAAATGCCAAGCAACATCAACAAAAAATGAAGTCGTGCCGCCTGCCATGCAGGAGCCAACCACAGGCCAGGACCTCCTGTAGAAGGGCCGGAGCCAACTTCAGGGCATGATGGACTCGCTGCCCAGGCCATTTCAAAAGCTACCCGCCATAAATACTTTGAAGTGGCGGGTGGAAGGTAGGAGGGGGAGGGTGGGAGGGTGGGAGGGCGGGAGGGTGGGAGGAGGTGGGAGGAGGTGGGAGGAGGTGGGAAGAGGTGGGGGAGGTGGGAGAGGAAGGTGGGATGGGAGGTGGGATGGGAGGTGGGAGGAGGTAGGAGTGGGAGGAGGTGGGAGGAGGTGGTGGGGAGGTGGCAAGTGGGTGGCAGTGGGTGCGAGGTGGGTGGGAGGTGGGAGGTGCGCGGCGCAGACTTGTTTGGCTTCCAATCTCATACATGTGCCCTTTAATTTTCTGTCTACTTAGCCTGCTAGGGCTAGGGTATTTCATGTCAGTCTAAATTCCCTCTCCGCCGGTGTTTCGCAAACCACGTTTCTGCACTTTCAAGCCAAGAAGGATGCCGTGGAACCAGGCAAATGCCAAGCAACATCAAAAAAAATGAAGTCATGCCGCCTGTCACGCAGGAGCCAACCAAAGGCCAGGACGTCCTGTAGAACCTATTTCCGACTCGCTGGCTGCCCAAGCCATTTCAAAAGCTACCCGGCATTCGTTGACAACGCGGTTTCCACAATAATTTGAAGTGGAATGAGGTGGGAGGAGGGGAGGAGGTGAGAGGAGGTGGGGAGGAGGTGGCAGGAGGTGGGAGGTGGGAGGAGGGGAGGTGGGAGGAGGGGAGAGGACGGGAGGAGGTGGGAGGAGGTGGGAGGTGGAGGTGGGAGGAGGTGGCAGGAGGTGGGAGGAGGTAGGAGATGGGAGGAGGTAGGGAGGTGGGTGGGGGGGGGTCTGTGGGAGGCGGGAGGTGGCAGGCGCAGCAGGCGCGAACGTGACGAAGGCGAAGAAGGCGTCCCTGTTTGGCAAATGGCCCATGGCGGACATTGCAACAAGCACAACGGCGAGTTTCCCGTAGATGTGACGATGTAGTTTCCGCCGTCGAAACTGGCGTGGCCTTGTTCGCACCCCTCGCCTTGGCTGACTTCGTTGTCGTTAAACCCCCCGGTATTGTCCCACCAGCATTATCCGTAGAACATGCGAGTGACGGGAAGGAGCTCCGAGGAAGCTGCTTGCGACATGGAGTCGTAGGCGCTCCAACCGTGGCACGCGGTCTTGTCAAACACCATCGCCCATCACTTCACGAGCGTGCAGGAAACAATGCCCCGCACTCCACCGTCAGGTTTGCGCAGAGCCGTTAAGCGAGCCATGGCAAGGCAAGCGAGCAAGGTGGCGGTATCAGCGAGCAACTCCATAGCTTCAGCATACCGGAGTAAAAGCTTCAAGTTCTTCTGACAACGACCCGGTCGTTCAAGGACACGACTCTCAAGTGCTCTGCCCGGCGCCCGCATGCCCAACAAGCCCGCGGCTCGCCCACGCTTTGCCTCGCGCAGCCCTGTGGCCAATGATCCTGCGGCAAGCCGGAGCTGGATCTCGATCAGTCTCGATCGAAAACCAAACGTCCGGCCAGTATTGGCGAGCGTGGTTGCGGAGATCTTGCGGGTCGGTGAGTGCTCGCCACGTGGCCTCCGTGCCTGGTGCGAGCTCCGCCGCTGTTAGCACTTGGCGAGCCCGTGAAAGCTCGCCTTGGCGGACTTTTGCGCAAGCTCGGCGCCGTTTGCGCTCAAATCTCGTCGGGCGGCAACTTCTGGTTTTGGGCCGAGGAACGCTGCCGTGACGGCCTGGCACTGCGGATGAGCTCGGTCCACTCAGCAGCTCGGGATAGGTGGGTTCCTTAGCCATGCATGCATAACTCAAAGCATTGCTATTGGGTTGGCGGCGCGGTGGTGTCGACAGCAAGCTGAGGAGTCCATTTGCGATGACTTGGATGCGGCGGTCATCAAGGCGCTCAGGTGGATGTTATTGGATGTTGAAGTCGCGCACTAAACCATTGCAGGAAACGGTAGCCCCAGCTTCGCGGCAAACACGGACAGCGGCTCGCTCGAGCGGGAAGCCACGGGAGCGCAAAATCCCCGACGCGGTGGTCACCAAAGAAACAACAGGAACGCGGCGATGAGAGGCTGCAGCGTCGAGGAAGTTTTTCCGCGATCTCCCGCAGTAGCCTTCCGAAATACTTCCATCATC